GGCTGCATATCATCTACCCAATTATGGAAACCTAGATTAGGCTAGACCTTCCCTAGCCCCAATAGTACTTAAAGTCGATGTCTCTAATTTGGAGGAATGGAGCGAAGGAATAAAAACCTACATTAGAAAGAATAGGGGTGAAACAACACATTGGAGGGAAGCTAATAGTCGCCTAAGTTTCGATTGGCTCATGGAGTATACTCCAAGGGGCTCAACCAAACTCTTTAATTGGAGTTCGCTTGTCAGAAAGCTCTCGGGAAATGGTAAAATACACCCCACAGCCCAATAATTTTCGTTGTCACTGTTTGATTTGGGCTGTATATTATGGAAACAATTGTGAAACCTAAGTTGGGCTACATTTTTAGCAGCCCAAATAAACCTATCAGTATTGGGCTAGGTTCCTAGTTTCAAGACGAACTAGAAGGCCATCCAATTCCAAACCCTTCCGACCGACCAAAACTGCAATTCTCTGTTACAAAACCCTGGGTTTATAAAAGCGCCGTGACTACAACGTTTATAAGGTTTCTCTTTCTCTCTCTCTCTCCGAGTCCCCACAGAACAGAGATGGGAAAGAAGAAATTGAGGGAGGGTAATGAAACCCAATACTCCCCTGCTACTATCTTCGTCTCCAATTTGCCTTTCTCTTTCACAAACTCCCAGGTATCCTCTCTCTCTCTCTCTCTCTCTCTCTATACATACACACACACACACACACACAAACACAAACACACGTATAATTGCTTATGAAAAAATTGAGTGCTGTTTCTTTTTTTTTTTTTTGACTCGGATTAATTCAGTTTTTTAACTTTTTGATATTTTAGCTCGAGGAGACGTTTAGCGATGTTGGACCGATTAGGCGGTGCTTTATGGTTACGAAGAAGGGTAAGCCTTTGTGAATCAAAGAGTGCCAATGTGATTTGATCTTCCTCAATTTATCATCTAATTTGAAAGAGGTGTTTGTTCTTTAGCTGTTTTTTACCGATTATTTTATGTTGAGTAATATTGTATCTTCTTGTTTTCTTGATGTTTACAGGGTCGACTGAACACCGCGGCTTTGGTTTTGTTCAATTGTGAGTTTATGCAGAAACTCTTTTTCCTTTGTTGCTTTGGGTTTTCTTGCTTAGTTGAGAGAGTCACCATTTCAGCTCATGATGAGATGTATTATCAACTCTTAAGGTGGTTATTTTTTGCACTTGGCTGAAACATATGTGCCTTTGTTTTAACGTTAGAGTGCAGAGCATAGAACATTCAGGTTAATGGCATACGACGACCTTAAATTTGAGAGAGATGAGCACTTACGCACTAGTCATCTTTGCCACGGGACTAAATGTCTTGTTGTAGTCAATCTCCCGTACTGTTATGAGAAAGCACGAGCAACCAATCAACTCTTTTGTACTTCGATTCAATCAATCGATTGATGAAGAGGCTAATCTCTTTTGTTTGGGCTGGTAGCTAAAAGAAAGTCCTTGTTTTCGAGTTCTGCCCGTAACTGAATTCTACTCATTAAATTCAGTCAAGTTGTGGGGTTATGACTGCTTGCATTGGAAATCAAGAAATTCCTATACCCTCGCTATCAACTTAAATCCCCTTTACTCCAAGTCCGAAATTGTCAACCAAGGTTCGAAGTATCGGTTGAGTCGTATCCGCTTCAACCATCACCGTTCCGATACCGCTACACGGTACGCTAATAACATGAGACTCAAGCGAATCGGCGTTGACTCGGTTATGATTCGGAGATATTAGTTAAAATCAAAGTCGGAATATTTGAGTTGATCAGATTGAGTCATCAACAGAACAATGTAAAAAATTAGAAAAAAAATGAAGGGGAGGAGAAGAAGACCAATTCCACATGCAGATTCACAGACCAAAAGTAGAAGAAATCAAGAAACTCTAAAATAGAAATTGAAAGGATTTGCAGAAAAACCTGTAGATCCTATACCTACAGCGAACCATATCTAGTCCAGCCCACCCAAAGTCTCTCTCTCGGTCTCAGTCCCAGTCCCAGTTTCTCGTTCTCTCGTTTTGCGCTTCTCTTTCTCGCTTTCTCTCTCTCTCGTTTCGTTCATCGTTGCGTGAGTAAGGGCAACTGTAGATGTTGTACATATACTTTTTTTTTTTTTGTNCATCGTTGCGTGAGTAAGGGCAACTGTAGATGTTGTACATATACTTTTTTTTTTTTGGTTTGGTCAGATTCCCTCTTGTAATATTAATTACACCTACAACCCCTCTTTTTTCTTTCTCTGTTAAACGATAAAAGGACTCGAATTTTTTTTTTTTTGTTGGTTTTCTTTTTTGTCCCTCCCCAATGGTCAGAAATATTTGTCCAAATTGAGAGCAAAATATTGCATACGTCCCAAATACTTTTGTGTGTGTTTCCTTTGCACATATATGATGACAAATGTTTTTCGATAACGCCCTTATTATTTTTTTTTGTAATAATTAATCTGTTAAATAATGTATTTTTCGGAATATGATGTGTGAATGATGATATTTACATTTATTACAATTTTTCTTTATTTTTTCAAAAAATTTTGAGCCTTCTACATGGCGTTTTGAGTGTATCGGCCGATACTGCGCCGCGACGCTGCGACCGATGTGTCTCAGTGACCTCCGAGTCAAGGTCCGATACCGCGACTTTGGACCATATTGTCAACCAAGTCTAGCCAACTTGTCCCATCATTGTTCAAGAAATCCAACTTGAAAATCCTACTTGCTTTTACCCTAACTCGATCAACTTGTCCGATCTCCTTATTCTATCAATCACACTTTTTGTCCACTCGATCGAGATACCGAACTTGAATGGTGTCGTTTATCCGTAGAAAAAGAAGTAAATTGTTGTTAGGTTGAACCTTCTTGAGAAAGGGCTCACGGGTAGCCCATCGATGAAACAAATCTATCACAAGTTAAGCTTTCTATCCCAAGCCTTTGTTCGGTAAAGTTGAGCAGAACATTCACAGTTATTTTGTCTAAAGAGTTTTGTTTTTGAGTTGAACAAAGTCTTAACTTATTTTGTTAAGAAAAAAACTTGTAATTAAATAAATTGTGAACTTTACACATTTTCTTAGTAGAGATATTTTCACAAAAAAAGAAAAGAATTAAAAATCTTTCATCACTTTGCATAGGCACAAGTAATCATTCATGCTTTTATTTTATTAATTGACTTTCCGTCAACAAACCAGTATTTCGAGTGTCTTGAAAAGAGCAACTAGATCGTGCTTGACATAAAGCACACAAAAAATTCAGTGAGGGGAGAGTGGATCTTTGAGTTCATCCGTAAAAAGAGTTGGAGACCCTTAGGTGTGGGGTGGAAAAGTTTGTTGCTGACATCAATCTGGCAAGTGTTTTTTCTCAGATATCCGGATCGAAGTAATGGATTGCAAAAATTCTTCGACAACCCTTGAAAAGCATAAGGCCATTCGACCTCCAGCACGCTAAAAAAAAATCCAATTCATATACAACCCCTCTCCCATGGGGGCAGCTTATGAAAATCCTATTTGGTTTGTTATTTTGTTGTCCTTCCCACTTCTTGAATCATCGAACACGCCATATTTTTAATTGACAGCAGTAAGAGTTGAACCTCTGACCCAGGTTATTAATATGTTGCAGCTTATGGTGGATACCTTGTTGCTCTTTCCCCATTTTACGTGCTGCATATAGGGCTTCACTTTGAATTTTATTTTTCTTCATGCATTTTAGTGCCACTAATGAAGATGCTAACCGTGCTATTGAGCTTAAAAATGGCTCATCTCTTGGAGGTCGGAAAATTGGAGTAAAACATGCCATGCATCGTGCTCCTCTTGAACAACGTCGATCGAAGGGAAATCAAGGTTAATATGATTCATTTATCATCTTTTTGCTTTTTCACCACCTTGAGTGAATATGGACATGCACCAGAGAACAAAGTGAAAGTGTTTAATGGAAGTTTCTCTCATTGTTGGTCTTCTGTTCAGCTGTTCACTCGGATGATATTGTCAGGACCAAGAATGACAATGATGGTTTTCCTTCTGGGATAATCAAGCATGAACAGGCATCAAACTCTCAAGAAATAGGTTGGGTCTATAATATTCGTAATGAATATATTCAAGCCATCTGAATTGTAACCTTAGATTTTACCAGTGTTAATTGACAAAAAGAATTAAATTTAGGCAGAACGGTGGAGACCAAGAAAGCAATGACTCATGGCAGGAGTGTACCTAATGAGGGGATCTCTTCTGAGAAGCAGAGGTACTTAATTGTCTATCTAATATATTTGGGCTTTCTTTGAGTGTTTTATGTGGTCTAATGTACTTCTCCTTATGTGTGCCTCTAATATACATGAAAAAAGGACAAGTATCCACATCTCTTTTTCATGTCCTTTTGTGTTTGAAGTTTGAACTCTTTTAGATGTTTGTGGTTGTTTTAATCTGTCTCAGAAATCAAGTCAAATTAGCTTTTGCCTGGAGTGGTGGGTTCTGTAGTTTAATTCAACCACTCACTATTTTCCTAGTTTGTGAATGGGGAGTGACTGATCATGAGAACAGATTAGCAATGATAAGTCTTGACCTCACATCTACAAGTATATATGTACTATTGTTGGTTTGAACTTGGAATTCCCATTTATAGTCCCTCTAAAATGTGATAGTGGTTGATACTATGCCTTTTGGTCTTTATTGCTTCAGACTTGGTTTACAGTTGAACCCGTGAGCCTATATTTGATAATCTTTAATTTGAAAAATCTAATTAACATGATAACTCGACTTACCTTATATGTACGTGTGGCACTGTGCTTTGTCAACAATCCATCTATGCTCCTTTTAAATGCTGTAGAGGTGAATATATGTTGAAATCAGTATAGTTGTTTATCATGTATTCAGCATCATTCCTTGTTTGCGAAGGATTTTTTTGACAGATATTGTAACACTTATATGCAAATTTGTTAATGCTAAGGGACAAGGAGGTCCCAATTGTAAATGGATTGACATTGTAAAGATATATAATGGCTTTTGATTAAATAGTGGATAAGACCCTAGATAGATTAAATGAGAAACATGATCATGTAGCCGATCCCTTGTATTTGATACAAGGCTTTGTTGAGTGTACGTGAGTGAGATTAAGTTGTTTGTTGCATGAAAAACTGGTGGACATTATGCTGACTAAGGTAGATGACTTGGCTTCCCAAACCCTTCTGGGACCATAGCCAGCCAGATGGCCCCCCTTGCTACTCCCTAAATTTGACCATGTTCAAAGCCACTACTCCTACTTGGAAGTTTTGACAGGGTTGCAGAGGAGATGAGCTGAATATTATCAGCCATGATATGCTTGATTATGGGTTGTTGGCCTTTTCCACAAAAGATGTTAGTAAACTGTGTAAGTAAAAAAGAATGAAGATTACTATGACTTACCCAAAAAAACAATATGTAGGTAACCATGATAGAAGGTTTGTGGATGTAGATATCTGGGGGAAGTTTGTTTCTCAGTTCAGTTCTGGCTTTGCCTCTTTTGGATCTCTCAAAGAGGCAGATATGATATATTTGTTTTTTTGAAATCTCAAGCAAATCAGTGCTCAATTCTGTAGCTAGGGCGGCAAATAGTAAGCTTCTGAGTGGTGGGTGCAAGTGTTTGAGATGTTCTCATAATTGATTTTGCATCTCCCTCTACCAGAGAAGTGAAAACCAGTAGGTTTGACATATGAGTTAATTTTATTGGTCGATTTGTAGTTTGTTTTTCAAGTTTTTGAGTAGTGAACCATTGTCAGTTTGCAATATGGTTGGCCTAATATTTTATTGGAGTCTGTAAGAGGAATTGGCAGTATTGTGTGTGCCTATGAGGGGGATGAGATCCAGCAGATGTATGGAAATAGAAAGCTTAGGAAGAATTGTAGATTCATTTGGTACCTGTGCTACCGAAATCTTGTTTTGAATTACACAAAACCCAAGTAGCTCTCACGAGAGTTGCATTGATCCATGAAGGCGAGCTCAAGCTGTATCTCTTTGCTCTGGTATCTAAAGATAATATTTACTCAATGTCCAATTGTTGTGGCTTTCACCAAAAAATTGGATCCTGATACGCTGAATCAAGTTTGATGTTTAGTGGCTACAGTATTTGATCCGTGCTAGATCTAGCGTTAATTTCAATAGAAACCAATGGCCTCTAGAGCAGATGGTGAAATGAGACATGCATGTAAACAAAAAATTTTAGTCGTTGACTTCAATTTTAAAGTTTGAGTTATAAATTTTTGAGAGTTATGGATCCTCAACCATGCTATATTACTTTGATCGTTTCCACTTCTTCAACTAAGCGTCCTGATGATTTTCTCCCTTTTGATGTTAAAAGAGTTGCTAGAACGATAATATTAGGTGGGCTTCTCAATGCTGACATGGCGGAGGAGGTTCACCGTCATGCCAGAGAGTGTGGCGCAGTATGTTCCCTAACTTATCCTCTTCCCAGTGAAGAGCTTCGGCACCATGGTAAGATCATTTTGCATCTTCATGTTCTCTGATGTAGAACATTTCAATTTTTAATGTTTTATTTCTCTTAACCTATTCAGATCAATAATAGCAGTGTTTTGTGTCGCATGCATATATATATATGTGTTACTTTAAAACACTACAAATGAGTTGGTTATGCCATAGTAGGATGTGCTTCTCATATTTCGATGGGATTGTTTTACATATATTATACACTACCCATGCAGCAGACCCTCCCTTGTGCTTGTTCTTATTTTGTTAAATCAATGGGGGATGTTGCCTAGATCAATGAGAAAAGCTTTGGTTGTCTACCGTTAAATTGTGGGATAAACCTTGGTCAACAAGGTCTGAATTTGTCAAGACTTCTTCCCCCCTACCACATCCTCTCTTGCATGCCTTCCCCCAAATGTTAGTCACTACCAGATTTGAGGTGACCACAGGTTGGGTTGCTTTGTACCATGCCTTGGCCTCAACATTCACCTTTTCTTAAGGTTTTAATTTTTGGCTTCCATTTTCACTTCATTTCATTTGGCTGACATGCGAGAATGCGTAGGACATGTGATTGTTTTTATTTGATTTTTAGCTTTGGGTGTCCAATTTATAAAGTCTTTTAGCTCTACAATCGCTCTTTCAGTTCACAGCTTTCCTTCACTGATCCTGACCTCTCATCCAGTCCACATACAAATGAACATTATGGTACAACTGGTGTCAGATTTTATGTTGGTAGATCCTCTTTTTCTGGTTTTTGTAATTCTAGAACAGTAAGAGAATATGGCCTTTTTATTCCACTTGCAGCTAAATGCCACATTCCAGAAAATGTTGTTTGATTAATCTAAATTAACAATAATTCCACTTTCTTCTTTTTGGTTAATCATGTCTCATTTCTTGTGGTTCATCTTTTAGTTCTCTATATTTAGCTTGGAGTTTATACTCTTAATTCTGATCGTTCTGTGGATTGTCTATTGCATGGATTGTCTGTTGTATGAAATGGGAAGCAGATACTTTTTCAGTTTCAATGGTACTTTATATATACATTTTTGAGGATTTGGTTCGATCAGTTTAGGATGTTAACAAAGCCACAATCTATGTAATTGTTCCAGGGCTCGCCCAGGATGGGTGTAAAATGGATGCCTCATCTGTGCTTTTTATGAGCATTAAATCGGCTCGTGCTTGTGTTGCAATGTTACACCAAAAAGAGATAAGTGGGAGATATGTCTGGGCGCGCCAGCTAGGTGGAGAGGTAGAGTTGCTATTATGTTTTAGATGGCACATCATTGATTTGGATTTATGATTAAATTAATTTTATTCTTGTTAGGGGTACATGGATTTAGTAATGCTATTATCGATGTACATTGTTTTAATGAGACATCGAATATTGTGATGCCAGTTCTTGTTGATGAATTGGTGATGATGTAACTGGATGTGCATGAGTCAGAATCATTCTAAGTTTTAAATTACTAAAGGATAAGGAGGAGTAAGCAATATTTACAGATATGAGGTTTTGTTTGGAAGGTGGAATTGCTAAACCCGAGAGCAAGCACTATCTATCTTTTCACTCTCACTTAAGCATACAGTTAAAAATGTGATGCAAGTTTGACATGTGCTATTTTTTTTTTTTTTTTTTGTTCTTTTGTTGTGATGGAGGTGGAGGTGGCAGAAGGAAGGGGTTGGGGGGGGGGGATCAAGATTGGCATATAACTAAATTTGAATTAGATCTCTTTTGAAAGATTAATTTTACTATGGGGTAGAAGGGATAACATTGCTCATATCAGAAACAGAACGACATTGCCACTAAGGTGGGAAAGAAGTGCGCCAAGTGCACTTAGTGTGGCTGGCTAAAACTGTAAGGACATTTGTATCTTCGAACGAACAGACCGGTGTGTTCAATGTGGGTGATTATATGCATTAGTGTGGAGGCTATTGGTGCAGTAGTTGGAAACTTGGAATAGGTAGTGAGATTTTTATAAAATTGTCCAAAGGCAATTTTAAGCTCCCTTGATTGTGTTGGAGGTAGTTGCGGCATGTCTTGAAGCTTTAAAAATTAAGTGGAGGTCTTGTTAAGAGTGTCTCTTTCAAGCCAAGGCTAATGCAATGGTGCTTCTTTTGCATTATTACACGCCCACACTTTTTGAGTTTTGAGTCGTAGCTCGTAGGAAGTATTATAATTTTTCCGTTTGTTGAGAATAATGAAGGCAGTACTACTTAGTCCATATGAATGGATGGGTATTCATAATGGACAATGCGTATGGAACATCCAAAATCCTCGTGATGTAGAAAAATCCAGAATGGATTTGAGGTGCACTGAGTAGTGGTTTCTATGCTGATGAGATTTCCTGAGGTGTAAGGTAAATATCTGAGTTATAGGTTACATCAATGCCAGTGAAGTTTCCATATCAAGAAAACATACTCTCTTTTGTTTGGTGGGTTGACCAAAGTGCAGTATGGCGGAGGGCACACCACCTCTGCAGGCCGTCAGTCCTAGTCACCAACCTACATACCACTCAAGGATCCCACTGTGTGGATCATCACATCGGATGCTTGCAGTTCCTTGCATACTAGGGGTTCCTACATAGCCTTGCTCTCAGTGGCATGGTAGATTATTGACGTTGAGCCTTCTTGGGGATCTTGTGCTTGTCATTTTTCCAGGTGGACAATATCTTTTGTGAAGCAAGGGCCATAGGTATTGGCACTGATTTTGTATGGCAGGTAGTAAGTGCGATGTTCTCATTTGCTGGTCCTACTTGAAGGGGCTGTCTCTGAGAAGTACCTGTGCAGACTCCTGCAGAAGCTTAGAGGGGTCTGGCAGTTCGACGAGGAAGGTGTTTGGTGCACCTTTCATACTGCTACGAGAGTCCTTCCACGTGCTACTGCTAGATTGATTACTGGAGAAGTTCATTGTGTCCCTTCCTGCATCATTCCTGCGGTAAAGGCTTAGGGTCATTTCTGTAGCATTGTGAATATCTGACCTTATCATACAATGTCAGGACTAGATGGGCCACATGTCCTTCAAGAGAACTAGCTTTCTACATTCTCAAGTAAACTGTTTAGTGATTATTCATTCTTTTTGCTTGATAATAAGTTGTAATTTGTCTGACAAGTTTCTACTATGTTTATTTGTTTAAAATTTAATATGTTTGTGCTCTTTTTAAATAAAATTGTGTCTAGAGTTACGTTTTTGGCATACGGTATCCATATACACATTCGTCATAAAGTTGAATGGGTGAAGACATGTAAAATGTTATACTTTGATTTAAATATGGTTTTTAAGTGATCTCTCTGTCTCTCTCATATACAGCCACAGGATGTGTTGTCTGTGGCATGTTATGAATGGTACGACTGTAACCCTAGTCAATTTGGCCTTTGCTTGTTATGGAGCATGATTATCATTAGCCATTCAAGGTGAATCCCAAATTACCTTGGCTTTCCTGGCAAAAATTGTCATCACTATAAATTTTGAAGACTACACAGTTAATTGCTTCCCCTGTCATCCAGTATGTTGCTTTAAATTTAATGGTTTTCATTTTTCTTGCCGTATTTCAATATTCATTTTAGTTGTTTCTATATATATATTTATGCTTGAGGGACTAAAACTTTTACAATTAAATTTGTGGACCAGGGCTCCAAGACTCGGAAATGGAAACTTATTGTTAGGAACCTTCCTTTCAAGGTTGTTTCTATTTCAATTTTTGCAATGTTCTATGCATGTGAATGAGTAGTCTTATATGCACATTTTCTGGGAGGAACTCTACCTCTAATCTGGTTTACAGAAAATCAAATGCAGGCTGAAATCAATGAAGTGAAAAATATGTTTTTGTCAGCAGGCTTTGTATGGGATGTATTTATTCCACAAAATCCTGAGACGGGGTATATTTTTATAACCCAGTGCTGTCCTTTTCTGTATCTTATAGTCATATCATTCTTCTTACTTGTTCTGCCTTTTTGCAGTTTATCTAAGGGATTTGCGTTTGTCAAATTCACATGCAAGCAGGATGCAGAAAAGGTATTGATTTGTAATACATTGCGTTCACCAAGTGTGGTTAAAGCTTTGTTTTTTTGTTTGTTAACCTCTTTCCACAAATTTTCTTTTCAAATTGTCTTTGCTTCATTTTGTCAGGCCATCCAGAAGTTCAATGGGCAAAAGTTTGNAAGGTATTGATTTGTAATACATTGCGTTCACCAAGTGTGGTTAAAGCTTTGTTTTTATGTTTGTTAACCTCTTTCCACAATTTTTCTTTTCAAATTGTCTTTGCTTCATTTTGTCAGGCCATCCAGAAGTTCAATGGGCAAAAGTTCGGTAAAAGACCCATTGCTGTTGATTGGGCTGTCCCCAAAAAAGTTTATGCAACTGGTGCTCATTCTGTTGCTGCTTCAGAAGATGGTAATTGTTGCCCTTATGAACAGTATATAATTATCTTCAATAAAATCTATTACAAATCTGAAGCTCGTGTTCTTTATTTCGGAAGGTTAGATGCTGATGTTCCTCAATTACTGGGGATAATCATCATAGTATAAAGGAAAATTGTGCTAGTTCTTTTCCAAATTAAAGGAACGGAATGCCTATCATATTTATGGGTCAACCATATGATATTTCCTTTAAGCTCCCTCTCAGTATATTCTGAGCTTGATGAACAGTACATGCTATATAATGGTTCTCTATAAATTAAGACAATTTGAGCAAGCAAATTCGTCAAAACTGGTCAATCCAACAGAGAGGCTAAAATTTGACCCGCTGTCTGTTGTCACACTCCATCCTGGTAGTATCCAACCCCACTTCCTTAGGATGGAGCAGACTACACCTGACAGCAATGTTCCGACGGGCCATATCAGGATTGGTATACCAAACTCACTTCATAGGGAAATTTGGAATAAACTATGTTGTGCAACAGACATCAACACTATGTTATTAACTTATTACATCCTTACCACCTGGTAATATGATGCACGAAGCACAGCATTTATATTCTCTTCAGTCTTCACATCTTCTCCCAAGCCTGGCTAGAACTCATAGTGGATTGATCTGTATCTCGAACACCTGAAAAATGTTGACAAGGGTGAGCTATTATTACTCAATGATTGTACTTGTTGCATTCAGGAAAACACAAAAAGTTATGGATGGAGCTGTATCTTGGATTTATCACTTTCAGAAACTGAGTATAGGAACACAAGCTTTTATAGTGACTAGTTGTCGCATATGCACGTTGTACGTGGACTACATTGAGCTATAATTTTAACATATATTTGTTGTATGTGTAAATCTTATATATATATATATATATATATATATATATATATCCTGATCTCTTCATGAATAGATTGGTTTATTTGCAAGGTTATGTGTAATATATTCCCTAGGAGAAAGGATATAAAAACCATTAAAGACTTGTGACGATTAAGTTCAAGAATTAGACTCGACACACAATAATCTCTATTTGGAAACAATCATATGGTATCTCAATTGTTACATGTCAATTTAAATAGCCAAACATTGTCCAGAGACACCTTAAGGATATAATTTACAATGCTCTCAAAAGACGTCACACAGAAATATCCCATGCATAAAGTTTTAATTTTTACTCAAGAGTTGATTATATCATATCAATTGTTTAGTTCTTTTGGCCTCTTATCAAGTAAACTTATTCCAAAAGTACAAATCTGTAATTTGTTAGCTTAAACACATATATTTGAGAATTGTGCATGAGTTTTTAGTTCCACCATTATTTTATTAACACCATTAGTAACCTATTTAACCTCTTGGTCGATTGAAAAATAAAAATAAAAATAATATAATCAGAGAAATCATGATGCTTGACTATCATATGAGACATTAAGTTGTGTCCTGCCAATTAAGGTGCATGGCATACACACTTGAGTTTGCCTTCACTATACTAGTATGGATCTCAAAACCAGCAACATATTATGACTAAGCAGTTCACAAAATCCAAATGGTAATTATTTCTAGATGGAAAGATGAAATAATCTTATAGAGCCTGCACTAAAGATTTAATAGGAGATCCTAACAAATGATACAAATAACGGAAAATCGGCGAGCTTAGAAGAAAAAAGAAATCGTACTCCATGCTACTATTAGTAATGCAACCATGCCCATTGCTAGTCTCTTAAAAGGTGTTATAGCAAGCTGATCCCCTTCTCTTGATACTATCAAATCATGTCTCTTGAGAGATGATAGTAGTTGCCCCATTGAAGCCATTCTTCTACTCAAATACTGATGCTAGTCCTTTCCAATCAACTCACCTAGATAATTCTTAACAATTAGGGACCACACGAATTTAAAATCGTCAACAAAGAAGATCTAACTTTTTTTCTTAATACAATGGAATATTTATCTTAATTTTACACGCACATTCTTAATCGGAAAACTACATCCTTGAATTAGTGAGCAAAAAAGAGGCAATTGTGCCATAAGATTAAAAACCTGAATCTTTTTTATTGATTTTGAATGAAGAACGACCCACACCCGTTCTAGGAAGAAAAAGAATAAATCTTCGTTAGTTAGTAAAATCAATTCTCCAATCTTCAATTGTTCCCTGCATATACTTGGCAACCAAAAAAAGGTTCAAATAAGAAACAATGACAATACAAGTTAAAAATGTATAACAAAGTTCAATGTTCGTGATATTATACCAGTCATCTTAAAATTCTACTCGGTAGTAACAATAAGGCGACAACATCAAAGTTTAGTTAAAAGAAATAAGAAAAGAAATACCAATAGTACTGGACTCTAATAACTATGAATACAATAACCTAGTCAAATAACCATTCACCAACAAACATGAATCCATTTAGTTTACTTTTCCGATGTGGGCTCCTTCTTTTTCCCAAAGCCAACAATTGGGAATGTCTATGATTGATTAGCTTTGTGTGCAGAAGGAAGACGATGGTGACACGAAAGAAATTGATGATAGAAGACTGAGTGTTAAAGTTAATTATATGATGGTGGAAGACCAAAAGATAGAGGTGTGTGTTGCATTAGAGTCCATTGTCTATGTACGGTCATATCAAAAGAAGATAAAAGGATACAATGATATTAATTAGGGTAAAATTGACACTCAAAATTATGGAGTATCTAAGAATCTAATTGACACAAAAACTGAAAAGTTGCAAAGAGGTAGAACGTGATAAGTTCATAAAATTAAATATTGGAATTGCTAGAAGCCAAGTAAGCTGTTAACTAAAGATTCATAGCCATAGAAGCAAAACGTTAATGACAAATGATGTCTGCGTTATTTGGCATTTTGTCTTCCAAAATGTTAAATGATGTTATAATTGCAACTTAATATCTATTCTAAGGATTTGTAAAGTCTAACCCTATGTATCAGTTGTGAACATTGCAAATATTAATCAAGGGTGATGCAGTAAGTGCATGATCATGTGTTATTCAAGTTTCTAGCATCAATGGATAAAATTGACTTAAAAAAATTGATTAAGGTTGAAATAGAAAAATAAAAATTTTTCATCGTAAGTGACTTTTATAAGTAGTACATATATAAGCATCTCTTAAATATTGAGGAACAATTTGAGTATAGCAAGCCAACAAANAAATTGACTTAAAAAAATTGATTAAGGTTGAAATAGAAAAATAAAAATTTTTCATCTTAAGTGACTTTTATAAGTAGTACATATATAAGCATCTCTTAAATATTGAGGAACAATTTGAGTATAGCAAGCCAACAAATCTCAATACCCATCCAACAACACCATTACCTCGTTCACATACTCACTCATCACAAAATGGATCTGATGATCCATTGGCTAACTGGCCGGTTGTCCGGTTTTTGGGCAGATCTGTAATCACCATCTATTTCTCTACAATTCATATTCAAATCAACTTCTTTATGACTGTACCGTTTCTAATACAATCAAACTTTCCCTGCACATTTATTTATCTAATATTACAGTTAGGAAGTTGAATTTTCAACTTATAAAATCACAACGGTCAAGATTGATCCAATTTTTATCTAACAACGGTACAAAATTTATCATAATTTCCCCCCCTAAAAAACATCATATTTTTGGATGGTCAACCAACACACTCTCCGATGTCAATCAACTCCATTAATCCATGCCTGCTTTTCTTTCCTCTCTCATACCTCTTTTTTTTTTTTTTGTTCACTTTAATTTAGAATTGCATAATTAACGAAAATAAAAAAAAAAAAATTCTTTTTTAAAATATAAATATTACACAATAAATATTCGATTTTTGGCATTATAGAGTGTTTTTAGGAACGGGGTCATTACTAGTCCTACCATAAACACACACTCCAACTCCATCTCGATTTATTAGACTCAATCAAATCACGATCTACGCTGTAGGACCCATGCTTTGAGTTGAGATAAAGTTCGGCCACGACACTTGTCAAGCTCATCACTTTTAAAAGTGATTCCAACCACATAAAACAATCTCTTGAAGTCAAACATACCAAAACCATGCAAGCTATGCAACCACACTCATAACCATGTTCAAACCATGCTTGAACACCCTGAAATGCAAAAAAACTTTAAGAACTGATGAATTCCATGCCATGAACAATTTCCATGTTTCAACTCAATAAAATTAGAAATTTAAGGATTCTTGCCAAAAGAACGAAAATTCTCAATGCAAATCAATTTCTATACCAATGTTCTTGATGAATCCATGCTTGACACCAAGTTAATAGTTGAAAGATGGGGAAGTTGGCTGAAGTTTTGCAAGGAATATGAACATACAAGAGAGATACTCGGAGGTAGGTGTGCAAGAGAGTATAGAGTTGAGAGAAAATGTGCCGATATGTACAACGAATATACCTTCACTCTTGGAACAAGCTTTTTAAGTCAAAGTNTGGCTGAAGTTTTGCAAGGAATATGAACATACAAGAGAGATACTCGGAGGTAGGTGCGCAAGAGAGTATAGAGTTGAGAGAAAATGTGCCGATATGTACAACGAATATACCTTCACTCTTGGAACAAGCTTTTTAAGGCAAATTTCTTGAGTTTTCATAATTACATTTCCTACCCCAAGTGCTTAGGAAATGATTCGAACCGCTATAACTTTCAAATTAAACGACAATTTAAACCCCTTAAGTTTTAGGTGCAAGCAATGCATGATTTGCATATTACATATGCATTTTATTTTAGTGGAACTTCAGCCACTGGACTCTAGTAGGATCCTTTAATGGACATTTAGCCGCGTGTCTCCATTCTTGTGCTCGATCAACCAAAAATTAGAGGTGCTCATAGATGGCTACATGAGGTCTACCTCATTGTAGATCTTGTCCTTCGATGAATGAATGACTCAAGGGAGCAAACTTTCTTTAAACATCAAGTCATATTAGAGAGAAGCCTTTACGTAAGTGATTCTGGCAAGACCATTCTTCGTGATTTGAAAATATATTGTTTCCGAGAAAACAGTCTCTTTATCATACGCAGCTATACGCTTCTACAACCTTCTCAATTCTTTTCTGTATAAATCTGTAAGACTGAATCTTGAGCCTTTGTTACACATATTGTCATCTGTAAGAGCAGACTATTGTAATTCTAGGTAACAATTTAGTAATTGTCTTCTCTTTCTTGTTACTATGTTAGTTAATAAGGCTTCAATAAAAATGATTTTGCCTTCCCATTCTGACTGCCACTGGCATAACTTCACTCTAATGATCAAATATCTCAACTGAGAGGGATGTACAAAATTGGTGACTGGTACTAGTGAGAAAAAAAAAAAAAAAAAGAAGAAGAGGGGGGGTGAGGGGATTCTATCTGGGTGGTATGAATTAAATTAGTATGTCCCTATGCTCTGCTAATCTGATTATGGGCTCTATTATATGGGTAGTTTTAGGAATTACATGTTAGGGACTTAAAGGATAATGCTATATTATTCCTATAAAAAAAGATGACAATGCTATAGTATCTTTTCAGCCTCAAGGGTGTGCCTCTAGGCACATTTTTCTTTTTTAAAACCTTGTCTTGCGAAAAATGCACAAGTTTCAAATGCTTTTCTGGAACAACGAGCTCAAGGAATGGTAGTCTACTTGAGGTGTTTACATATCGAGGCAGTGGCAAAAGAAATCTGAATGAAAAAATTATTTATTGCCTGCGTTAGTTTGATGTATTGATTTGAAAACTGTAGCCTGTGGTAAGATAAGTTTAGTTCTCCGTTCTTATTTGCAGAATGTACCCAAGGTCTGTATCTTTCTCATATTTTAAATGTATATTTTTCCTTCCCACCAAACAAGTAGCTGTGTGAAGCAGAGGGTGCAGTTTCCCTTTCCAAGTAAATGAAATAAATGATAGAAAATAATACCGATTTGCTCCAGCAAACTTTCCACAGAATCTATTCTTCTTCTTGACCTTATTCTGGTCTATGTGGGTGCTTCACTTTGGGTTGCTTTTTCCCTCTGTATCATCAAAGAAGGAAGGTTTCTATATCTATAATTAATGGAATTTTCATTGCTTACCTGTGAAGGAAGTTTAGGGTGATAGCACTTGCATTTCATTGGATCTAACTAGTGGGTTTAACAGGGCACAAAGAAAGTGAAGAGGAAGGGGATGGTAGTAGTGATTCGGAGCATGAGGAGGATATTGATGAACAATCCCAACATCCTCATGGGGTTGATATTGCTGCTGATGACTCTGAGTCAACTGAGAAAGAAGCCAGCTCTGCTGTAGATGATTTTGATGAGGAAGCTGATGTTGCAAGAAAAGTTCTGAAGAACTTGTTTTCATCATCTTCTAAAGAAACACCTTCTCTCAGTGATGATTCCACACTACCCAGGAAAAACAAGGGTGATGAAACCGTCATTTTACCTGACAAGCCATCTGATGGAATACATGTTACAAAATCTGAAAACTCCAGCGAAAACNATTCCACACTACCCAGGAAAAACAAGGGTGATGAAACCGTCATTTTACCTGACAAGTCATCTGATGGAATACATGTTACAAAATCTGAAAACTCCAGCGAAATCCAACTAAGAAACCTTAAATCGGTGGAAGGAGAAGATGATCTTCTGAGAACAATTTTCATAAACAATCTTCCTTTTGGTATAGATAGTGAAGAAGTGAAACAATGTTTCTCTCGATTTGGTGAAGTGCATTCCTTTATTCCAGTTCTCCATCAAGTCACGAAGTATGGATCTATTTTCTCGAATAGAATATTTACTCGCACTCTTCTTCATATTATCAAAAAATATCTCATTAGGAATTGTGCAGGCGACCAAGAGGAACTGGATTTCTCAAGTTTAAGATAATGGATGCTGCTGATGCTGCATGTTCAGCAGCCAATGCCGTAGCTGGTTTGGGTATCTTTCTCAAAGGTAGACAATTGAAAGTTTTCAAGGCTTTGGACAAGAAAGCAGCTCATGAGAAGGAGCTGGAAAAGACAAAAAAGGACCATGACCATCGCAACCTTTACCTGGCAAAGGTTGGTTTTTTTACCTCCCCACCCTCCATCTTCCCCTTTTGAACAATGGGATCCAACTGTTTGTCTTTGCAGTTTAATTTGACTACAGATGATCCTTTTCTGATCTATTTACATTTATCTTCTTTGTAATAGGAAGGTCTTATTGTTGAGGGCACTCCAGCCGCTGAAGGAGTTTCAGCTACCGATATGTCAAAACGCCAAATGTAAGTGTTGATGGAATATTTCACTTTGGAATAGAAAATGAAAAGAAACATCGTAATGCGATACAGTTCTTAGGTATACCACTGGTTCAATGGTTAAAATTCGGCCCATTGACGTTGAGGTAGTTGGGTTTGAACCAGAGGGGCAGCCATTTTATGTACATAATGCCAGGTGTCTGTTCCCAATCTGTGCCTTCTAGACCCTCATTAATGGGGAATAAACTGGATGTTTTAGTTTAGATGCTGTTATTTCCACGCCACACAGCAAATAACGGAGGTTTGAGAAAGACATTCTAATGGGCCATTCCCCGGAGATCTATTCATAAAACTTGCAATTCAACATTTATGGCCTTCTAAACCATTTTATTTGTTTTAATAAATGACTTTGTATGTCTTTCATCAAAAAAGATGTGAAATTCCATAACGATGCATTGGTTGATAAGTTTTCAGTCACTTCTTCAAAGGTTAGACCCTTTTGGAGGTGGTGTGTGGAATTGGGCTGATTGGCCTTTTTGCGTTCCTGTGTTCTGCTGTTGACATTGGGTAAGTTCTGAAATTCGTGTGTTTCATTGTGTATATTTCTTTCGTCCAATCAAAAAAAAAAAAGAAAAGAAAGATGAATAAAGACAAAGGGTAGTGGGATACCAAGATTGATTTTGATTGTCAGGAGAAGGTGGCAGGCCTGTTCCTTGCTTCTCCTCACCTCCCCAAATATACATATATTATAATTCTGTGCAAGTTTCTTCCCACAAAAATACTTTTGCACAACTTCACTCAGATGGCTTTATCGGGTAGTTTCTAGCTAGCGTTGGTTTGGATTTTATGCATTTAATTTAAGTTGGTATTTGGCTTAGTGGCTTACCATAACCAAGGTTAATATTGCTCATTTGGAATTTTACGTTGGTGAATTTGTACACTTTATGGAAATTAGAGAAAGAAAAATGAGTAAAGCAAGAAAGAAACTAGAGACTGACTGCTTTTATGGAAATAATATTGGATTTCATATTTTCCTTAATATCTACTGCCTAGTGTACAACCTAACTCTTGGGCTTGTTGTGTACTCAGTCTACCCTTCCAAGCACCCCTAAGAATAACGGGGATCAATGCATGATGTTGTTTTGCCATGTTAAATGTGGTTGCTGAGCTGCTTTTATGAAACCACATTCTTTTGTATGGGTTGGTAATGCTATCTTAAAATTATGCAGGTTGGAAAGGCAAAAGATGACTAAGCTTCAGTCTCCCAATTTTCATGTTTCAAGGATGAGACTCATCATATACAATTTACCAAAGTCAATGGATGAAAAGGTTCTTAGAAAACTTTGTATAGATGCAGTTACCTCTCGAGCTACTAAGCAAAAACCTGTAATTCGACAGGTCAGCTATGCTGCTCAATATTTAGGAAGTTGATACTATAATGTCTATGTGATGTGCCTCTGCATATTTACATCTACCCTTATGTCATGCTGCTATGCAGATAAAGATTTTGAAGGATACTAAAAAAGGAACAGTAGTCGCGAAAAATCATTCTCGGGGAGTCGCTTTTGTTGAGTTTACAGAGCATCAACATGCACTTGTGGCTCTGAGAGTTCTCAACAACAACCCTGGTAAAGTGTTAAAGTTGAAATCTATGTTCTCATGTGGTTTTGGGGAGTGCTAGAATTGTTGGACACCGGATTTAAAATCCTGCTGTCTCTAATTGTAGTACTCTGAATGATAATGTGTAGACTCATTTTTTCTATCTGGTGATTTCTGGTGTTCAGAGCTGAAAAATGGTTACTCAATATTCTAGTGATTACTTTTTTTATTTTCTTTAAGGAGAAAATCTTTTGCATAATCTAATTTAGGGTGTTCTGTTATTTACAGAAACTTTTGGTCCTGAGCATCGCCCGATTGTGGAATTTGCTCTTGATAATGTCCAAACTCTAAAGCTCCGTAAAAATAATCTCCAAGCTCAGCAGCAGGGCTCTCATACTAATGCAGCTGATATGCGGCTAGATGATGACTCACCTACACTTATTGGCCATCCAAACATGAAGTTGAGAAAACGCCAATCTAGAGGTGACACCACATTATCGAAGACTTCAGGTACTAAAAAAGACGGTGAAGTGGAAAACAGAGTANGCTAGATGATGACTCACCTACACTTATTGGCCATCCAAACATGAAGTTGAGAAAACACCAATCTAGAGGTGACACCACATTATCGAAGACTTCAGGTACTAAAAAAGACGGTGAAGTGGAAAACAGAGCACTTGAAGTTGCTGCCACTGAAGAAGGCAGAAGTATCAAGAAACAGAGGAGTTCTTTGAGAAGGGAAAGGAAAAATGGGTTTTCAACGAAGGAAAACCTACAAGACTCAAAAGAGAAGCTGAAGAATTGGAATCAAGGAAGCAAGCTTGATGGTGGAGAACCACTCCGAGTTGAAAGTATGGCCATTAGTTCACGAAAGGCTAGAGTTTTAGAGGAAGCAGATGTGCAAAAGAAAAAGAGGAAATTGCAAGATCAAACAGAACAGAAGGTGGCGATTAGTTCAAAGAAAATGAAGACGACCAAAAAAAACAAAGACCCTTTGGGCCGAGATGCGGTGGATAAACTTGACATGTTGATTGAACAATATAGATCAAAGCTATCACAGCATAGTTCCAACAAAAGTGATGGTGAAAAGCAAGGGTCTAGACAGCTTCGAAGGTGGTTTCAGACATAATTCTCTTGCACCTTTTTGTAAGATCATACAATAGGATTGAGATTCATTTTAATTTGATTGCGACTCCCAATAGGATTTTGTAAGGGTACAAATACATCGAATCTAGTTGAACATTGTTATATATCAATCTGAATGGTGTGGGGCTTCACGCTTGTGGTGGTTCACTCGAGTTTATGATGAGTGTCAAATAGATCGTTGGCGAGTAATAGTCATTTTTTTATTTGATTTCAGTATAGTTTGCCTCTTTTATATGTTGTTCATTTATGCACATAAATAATAATGCTTAAATTTTTTATTTTTTATTTTTGTATATAAAATGTCAAAAACTCAAACAAATCATTGTTCCTATTGTGTTGTTTTTTTAATTTTTTTGAACAATTTTGTATTGTGTTGTTTGAGTATTAATTATTTGATAAATGAATAATTTGAGAGAGTGGTCAATAAACACCTGAAACGGAGCCAAAAAAAACACTAAACCCTAGGGGGTCTGTTTATTTAGCGGGAGATTGGTAAAAAATGCAAGAAAAATAATTTTTTTTAAATTTTAAGGTGTTTGGTTAGCATGATAGAAAAAATAATTTTTTTTCATGCTTAAATTTTTTCACAAATAACCAATTNAACAATTTTGTATTGTGTTGTTTGAGTATTAATTATTTGATAAATGAATAATTTGATGGAGTGGTCAATAAACACCTGAAACGGAGCCAAAAAAAACACTAAACCGTAGGGGGTCTGTTTATTTAGCGGGAGATTGGTAAAAAATGTAAGAAAAATAATTTTTTTAAAATTTTAATGTGTTTGGTTAGCATGATAAAAAAATAATTTTTTTTCATGCTTAAATTTTTTCACAAATAACCAATTTTTTTTTCTTGTAAAAAATACAATAAAATATAAGAAAATTGTGATTTATAACTATTTTTTCATTTTACCTTTAATTTTTTTAAAATATTTTATTAGTTATTAATTTTAAATTTTTTTTTATATGAATTTGATTAATTATATATTTTGGCCCAAAGACTTTTGTATTGGTGATTGTCTTAGAATTAGGTTTCGAGCTACCTTTTTTTAAAANACTATTTTTTCATTTTACCTTTAATTTTTTTAAAATATTTTATTAGTTATTAATTTAAAATTTTTTTTTATATGAATTTGATTAATTATATATTTTGGCTCAAAGACCTTTGTATAGGTGATTGTCTTAGAATTAGGTTTCGAGCGGCCTTTTTTTTTTAAAAATTAACTTTCAATTGTAATTATATTTTTTTTTCTTTTTTAGATCAATTTAATATAATTATAAAAAATTTCTTATAATTTTAATTTTGTTCAAACAATAAAATAATTTTTTTAAAAAAATTTTCTATAAAATTTTCACTCTAACCAAATACATGTTTGAAAATATATTTTTTATCATTTTCTTTTTTTTCACTTAATTTTCTATCATTTTAATTTTTCATTATTTTTCTATCGTTTTTTTTTCAAACCTTANTAATTATAAAAAATTTCTTATAATTTTAATTTTGTTCAAACAATAAAATAATTTTTAAAAAAAAATTTTCTATCAAATTTTCACTCTAACCAAATACATGTTTAAAAATATATTTTCTATCATTTTCTTTTTTTTCACTTAATTTTCTATCATTTTAATTTTTCATTATTTTTCTATCGTTTTTTTTTCAAACCTTAAAAAACAATTTCTTTAGCGCAAAAAAATAATACTAAAAAAACCCTCTCTCTCTATCTTCATGTAAGCTTTGTACTCTCTGTTCTTCAGTCCATGGCGAAAGCCCGGGCCGTTCGGCGAACGTTGGACTCCTACTCCTATTCCGTCAAAGGCATCACCAAAATCATTCGACGTAAGTTTTGCNCAAAAAAATAATACTAAAAAAACCCTCTCTCTCTATCTTCATGTAAGCTTTGTACTCTCTGTTCTTCAGTCCATGGCGAAAGCCCGAGCCGTTCGGCGAACATTGGACTCCTACTCCTATTCCGTCAAAGGCATCACCAAAATCATTCGACGTAAGTTTTCCCGTCCTATTGCTTCATCATTTTGCCCCATATTTTCTTTTCTCTCGAAGATTACCGGAAAATCTAACTTACGTCATGTTTCCAATTGTTCACAGCTGGCGATTGTGTGTTGATGAGACCGTCCGATTCATCAAAGCCGTCGTACGTTGCCAGAGTAGAGCAGATCGAGTCGGACAGTAGAGGAGCCAACGTTAAGGTTCACGTCCGGTGGTATTACCGGCCGGAGGAATCGATCGGGGGCCGGAGACAGTTTCACGGTTCCAAGGAGGTCTTTTTGTCCGATCACTATGATATTCAGAGCGCTGATACAATAGAAGGGAAGTGTACGGTGCACAGTTTCAAGAGCTATACGAAACTTGATTCTGTTGGCAACGACGATTTCTTCTGCCGTTTCGAGTACAATTCGTCCACCGGAGCGTTCAATCCCGATAGAGTAGCCGTGTATGTAAGATCAATTATTTGATGTATGTTTTATGTTTCATTTGAAATTTTAATTCGATTGATGTGAATTGCTATGTCTCAATTGTGTCCTAAATTCGGAGCAACGACATTCCTTAGTAGCGATTTTGCGAAGAAGTGGAGATAGTTTTTGGATTGTGTGTTCATATTCGATCAATTTGGGGTTTTGACTGACATGATTTGGTTAGTTTAGTGGCAACATTAGGCTTTTTACGTATTAATTTTCAAACGAGTTAGAAATAACTAGGTTTATTAATGGTTGCTGCTAGAGAGTTATGGTGTTTCTTCCTTCAAATATAACATTGGATATGATTTCTAACATCCTTGGAAACTCAATTTGTTGCGATTGAAAACGAAAGTCAGTGTGGTGAGCTTTTGATGAACTTATCAGCTTTTGCTGCCTTGGGCTAATTAGCTGGAACGATCTGCCTTGGAGAATTTTAAACTTCAAAATGTGAATTGCTAATATGAATGTATTGCTGCCTCTGAGTTTGTTTGTTTGAGTATTCAGGCTCCTCTTACTATGGCAGGTACTGTAAATGTGAGATGCCTTACAATCCTGATGACCTAATGGTTCAGTGTGAAGGCTGCTCTGATTGGTGAGTTGGATGCTTTTGGCATTATCATTTTCTCTGTGTTCCATTCATTTTTGGCAGATATATCCTATACCATCTGGTTTCAATTGTCTTAGAAAAGATATGCTCCAAAGAAAGTTAAGATCGTTTGGCATAGCGTGGAAATTTCTGTTATTTTTGTTCTGAGGTAGTAAGCTAATGTTCTGTGACTGTGCTGTGGGAAACATTATTAATGCAAGACATTGGTTTGTTAAAATTTACAATAGGATGGAATGCGATGAAACTAAACCAGTTGAAATACTGACATTAGGGATAGAGATCGTGCTGGCTTTAAGGTAAATATGTAATGAATTGCATAAGAATTTTTAGTTCCTTAAGAGCCTATTCAGTGCTTCGTATCAGGAGTCATTGGGGTGAGTAGAGTATTAACCTTCTTTTCACGTTAGTGGAGTTGCTTTGCTGCAAGTCTTGTGTGGTGGGAATTGCTATCAGTAGGTTTGTCTTAAGGATCCAACTTCTCTAGGAAAAATTGGTGGTTGGCTTGCAACTACAACATTTGAGTGAGTTGAATTGAGGTATGTATATATGCTTCTAGAAAGGAATGAATGAATTTTGTATGGTGCATGAGGAATTAACTTGTAATTCTCTTTTTTTTTTTTTGGTCTTTGCTTGTTACTCTATTTTCATATGAGGGAGAATTTTGTATGCGTGAGAATCCTTCCTAATTATGAGTTCTTGTCTCGTGACAACTTTTTATCCTTTAATTCAATACAATATCAGTTATTGAAATTTGTAGGATTAATAGTTGCCCATTCTTAAAAGGATATTTCCGCAACCAAGCATAAGCATATTCACGAGAACAAAATTTGAAGTTTTTAATACTACATTTGAAGTTTTCATCATGATATGTTTGATTCAGGTTTCATCCTACTTGTATAGACCTAACCCCAGAGGAAGCCCAAAGACTTGAGCACTTCTTTTGCCACACTTGTTCTTCTGACGGCAAAAAAAAATTGCATTCTCTTTCTGCTTCCAGAACCTCAGATACTAAGGTAATTTATTCTTAATTAATAGGATCTTTTTTTTCTGCCTTTATTAGTGAATTTCTTATGGTGTGTTTGGTATGTCCTTCAAGGAAGGATGAAAAATATGGTGTGTTTGGTATACTTTTTCCATCTTTCTTTCTATCCTTTGTGTTGGTAGAAAGGATGAAAAATATGTTTTTGTGCTTGGTAGAATGAAAAAGTGAAAGAATGGAAAAAGTATAGATGNATGGTGTGTTTGGTATACTTTTTCCATCTTTCTTTCTATCCTTTGTGTTGGTAGAAGGGATGAAAAATATGTTTTTGTGCTTGGTAGAATGAAAAAGTGAAAGAATGGAAAAAGTATAGACGNTATACTGAACAAAACATTTACTAAAAGACAAGAATTAAATTAAAAGAATAAATCAAGTATTAAAAACATTAGATGAAAAACAAATACTGTATTTTATTGAAAGCTTCTCTCTTAACTTTAGTTGAGCTTTTAGCAAGTCAAAAAAAGAAGACTAAGAAGAGATGATACAAAGGAGAGCCTAGGCCTCTTTAAATAGGCTTTTGGGGAGGAAAAACCTAATTACATAAAACTACCATCACTGGCCGTCTTTTGTCATCGTGTCCGGACGCATCCAACAATGAGTCTCTTGTGTCTCCTTTGGAAATCTTGTTCGGACGCACTTGTTATTTTGTCCGGATGCGTGTCTTCATTTGTTTTAGAGCACCTTCTGGAACTTCCGTCTGGAGGCATCTTCTTTACCATCCGGACGTATGAGGAAGAATACTCCTTTGTGCTTGCTTGTAATCCAGATCTCTTCCTCCTGTCAACTAGATTTGATTCAAAAAACATCTCCTGAACTCAAGATCTGTCATGGTCCTCATGAACACAGATTTATCGAGTTTAGCTTGATTCACCTTGTTTGCTCCTTTAGGTATCTACATCTATAAACTCTTCCTACAGAAGGCGGTCAGTGCACGAGGCTGCCCCCACTGCGGGGTATGGGGAATGTTTGATATATGCAGTTTTATCTTGCATGTAGAGAGAATGTTTCCACGACTCAAACCCTTGATGCCTACTATTGTGTGAAGGCTCACTCTCATCTATAAAACTCCTCTTATGCTCATCATTATTGCTTTTTCTTCGATGGCACTTGTCTCAAAGGCCACATGGTATATATATTTTAATGACGTTTGTCTAATTATATATACTACTCATAAGAATCTGAAAACCTCTATCAGTTTAAGCAAAAGTAATTCCAGGAGTTGTGAGAGAAACTTAAGACATTCATATGTAATTGCTAGCTTAAGAAATTGAAGCTGTATTTCCAAGTGTGGAGTCAAGGGGTTCTATAGTTCTAATGTTTCAAAACTAGAGGGCCACTCAACGTTACAGGCTTTGGCAAGTTTAAGCATCAAACATTGGGTATGCCATTGAGGAAGAATATCAAGACAATGACTTAGAAAATGAGATATTCAGCTTCCTTCTCCATGCTGTCAAGGTCTATGATGGGACATCTAGAGCAATTAATGAACCAGGAAGAAAGTATTTCTCATTGGATTATCTATAGGCTCAGGTTTTTAGTAAGGGGTTCTTTTATTAGNTGAAAACCTCTATCAGTTTAAGCAAAAGTAATTCCAGGAGTTGTGAGAGAAACTTAAGACATTCATATGTAATTGCTAGCTTAAGAAATTGAAGCTGTATTTCCAAGTGTGGAGTCAAGGGGTTCTATAGTTCTAATGTTTCAAAACTAGAGGGCCACTCAACGTTACAGGCTTTGGCAAGTTTAAGCATCAAACATTGGGTATGCCATTGAGGAAGAATATCAAGACAATGACTTAGAAAATGAGATATTCAGCTTCCTTCTCCATGCTGTCAAGGTCTATGATGGGACATCTAGAGCAATTAATGAAGCAGGAAGAAAGTATTTCTCATTGGATTATCTATAGGCTCAGGTTTTTAGTAAGGGGTTTCTTTTATTTGTNATATATATATATATATATATATAATATACTGTATACATTATGCATATATTAAAAAATATATTGGTAAATAACATATATTTCGACACATATAATTAACTTTTCATCCACTTTTCCTTTTAATTTTGGAGGATTTAATTTTAGTGAGTTGTATGGAAAGCTAATTCATCAATTTCTCTATCATTTCTATTTTTTTTCCTTTTTAAATATGATATTTTATCTAACACTCCAACTTTCCATCGTACCAAACAAAGTTTTAGTGTGAAAAGCACATGATGTGAAATATAGTTTTATGATCATGCTTATATACTTAACAACGGGATTTATTTAGGAAGCCGACTTGATGAGTCATTTATAGAGTAGCTTCTTCACATGCATCATGATAATTTTGAGCTTCCAGTCATCCCAAATACAAGTCAAATCAATTGAAAAAGTTTAATGAGGGTAGCCATGCTCTGTATCCCTTAGGTTGTTGGGTTGTTAAGAAACAACTTATTTAGAGAAAAATTCATTGTAGACTATTAGGCTGAAGTGTTGCAACAAGGGTGGTGTTAGATTTTAGATGGATGCTTAAACTATAAGTAGTAACAACTAGAAAAAAGAAGAAGAAGTGATTTATTTATATCATGTGTGGACCATGAAGCTAATGAAGCCTGGTTAGGAAATACTTTTGATTCTGAATGTATGACAATGGGAGTAGAAAGGCATAAACGACCATGTATTAGGCTGGTTAACAGAAAAATATTTATGGTCAACGCCCTAATAGGGACGAAGGGTTTTGTGATGAATGGTAGTGCTACAACTTAAAATATGCAAACTCAAGCGTAGGTTGTCGCGAAGTAATATATAATTCGGAAGGAACACAAGGAAAAAAAATAAAAAATATTTTGAAGTTGTTTGAAACTAGTTTTGTTCAAAAGAATAAGAGTTGATTGATTAAAAGTAATAATTTGAAATACTAAAGTATCGAGATACCCTTTCAATTTCACGCAACAATTATTAATGATCTAATTTTCGAACTCAATTAGGAATCAACTGATGAGTGATTCTAATTGGAATATTTAGCAAAGATAGTATGAAACATCAAAAGTTATAACTAAATAAATTATCCGAATAAATCTAATAATTCACATGCAGATTACAATCATTCACCGTGTCCAGAGTCGACGATAAATCAAGTTGTCTAGTAGATAAACTCTAAATTTATTGCAAATAATAAATCAATTACTTTATGAAAATTCTAAATAACTAATTCAAGCATGAAATAACAAGTTATTTGACTCATATGGAATCTCAAGCATTTGATGTACGTGACTCAACGAATTAAAAAATTATACTGAACAAAACATTTACTAAAAGACAAGAATTAAATTAAAAGAATAAATCAAGTATTAAAAACATTAGATGAAAAACAAATACTGTATTTTATTGAAAGCTTCTCTCTTAACTTTAGTTGAGCTTTTAGCAAGTCAAAAAAAGAAGACTAAGAAGAGATGATACAAAGGAGAGCCTAGGCCTCTTTAAATAGGCTTTTGGGGAGGAAAAACCTAATTACATAAAACTACCATCACTGGCCGTCTTTTGTCATCGTGTCCGGACGCATCCAACAATGAGTCTCTTGTGTCTCCTTTGGAAATCTTGTTCGGACGCACTTGTTATTTTGTCCGGATGCGTGTCTTCATTTGTTTTAGAGCACCTTCTGGAACTTCCGTCTGGAGGCATCTTCTTTACCATCCGGACGTATGAGGAAGAATACTCCTTTGTGCTTGCTTGTAATCCAGATCTCTTCCTCCTGTCAACTAGATTTGATTCAAAAAACATCTCCTGAACTCAAGATCTGTCATGGTCCTCATGAACACAGATTTATCGAGTTTAGCTTGATTCACCTTGTTTGCTCCTTTAGGTATCTACATCTATAAACTCTTCCTACAGAAGGCGGTCAGTGCACGAGGCTGCCCCCACTGCGGGGTATGGGGAATGTTTGATATATGCAGTTTTATCTTGCATGTAGAGAGAATGTTTCCACGACTCAAACCCTTGATGCCTACTATTGTGTGAAGGCTCACTCTCATCTATAAACTCCTCTTATGCTCATCATTATTGCTTTTTCTTCGATGGCACTTGTCTCAAAGGCCACATGGTATATATATTTTAATGACGTTTGTCTAATTATATATACTACTCATAAGAATCTGAAAACCTCTATCAGTTTAAGCAAAAGTAATTCCAGGAGTTGTGAGAGAAACTTAAGACATTCATATGTAATTGCTAGCTTAAGAAATTGAAGCTGTATTTCCAAGTGTGGAGTCAAGGGGTTCTATAGTTCTAATGTTTCAAAACTAGAGGGCCACTCAACGTTACAGGCTTTGGCAAGTTTAAGCATCAAACATTGGGTATGCCATTGAGGAAGAATATCAAGACAATGACTTAGAAAATGAGATATTCAGCTTCCTTCTCCATGCTGTCAAGGTCTATGATGGGACATCTAGAGCAATTAATGAACCAGGAAGAAAGTATTTCTCATTGGATTATCTATAGGCTCAGGTTTTTAGTAAGGGGTTCTTTTATTAGTTTGTTTCTTGTGTTGTACTGTTGTAGCAGAATTTATAAATTATATTTCTCTGAGACACACCCACACTCCGTTGTGGTTGGTGGCTAGATGTGATAAGATTGTTTCTAATGTTTGATAGGAAAAAGGAAAATTAAAGGGACACGTATAGGAAAATACCTGGAGTTGCGTATTTTTCTGTTTGATTGTAAACCATCAGTTGGTGACCCGTCATGGAAGGTGAAGGTTCTGTAATCTTAATGGAGGTCAGATTATAGAAGGCATTTGTTTAAAACTTACATCTTGATCTGTGGTTATCAGCAGTGATTGGAGCTTTATAGTCTCAATAGTTCAATACTTTACCTGATGCAAATGGACAGTCGAAAGGAGGAACCCTGCTGGGGAAGATGGATGCAATGGGATTTGTGTACGCATTGCATGCATCAAATAACTGGCCAAGATTCACTGTCCGTGATTAAACTGAACTGAGTAATTGACTCTAATTATATTTTTTTCCTTGTCATCAAATGTTTTGTATCAAGTGCATAGCGTAGTTGTTACGCTATACACATTCAAGGAAGTAAATTTGCATGTTCTAAAGCACGTGAGATCATTGCATGCATCCGAGATTTGTGTGGTAGTCATGAATCAAAGGATTTCCCCCCCACCCCCCAAAAAAGAAAATTAATAATAATAATAAATAAAACTCTGCCATTATTATTTTTGTCTCAGTTGCCGAGTATTTGACTTTCATTTGTCATGGGGGTTGCTTCAGGTGGATACAAAACGCCGTAGGAGGTGACACATACTAAATTGGAGGGATTCAAGTACTCTACTAGGAAGCAAGCAAGCAAACACGGAGGCAAATGAGATATGCATCACAAGCAACAGTATTTGCCAGCTGATGTGATAGGGAAACTGGTTTAAAAACTCTGACCGTCTATTTGGTTTCTTTTGGGACAAGTCAGCCTTTTTTCCTTTAGAAGGTTGAGGATGTGTTTGGTTGTCTGTATTTATCTAATGGTAGATTTTTCCTTCTTGCACCTTTTATCGGATTTTCTCTGTATTATGTGAATCATTCTCCATAAATATAAAAGTAATATGTAAAGGGGTCACAAAATGTGAAGATTATGTTAAAATATGTGTCATCTTGAGGAGGCACTAGGGGGGTGGGGGGTGTTTGGGATGGAAAATATGAATCATTGTCCAGTGGAAAAAGGTTTACTTATTTAAAAAACCTAGTGGACATAGGGTTGGGAGAAAAAATTTCCGTTGCCGGGACTTGAACCCGGGTCTCTCGGGTGAGAGCCGAGTATCCTAACCACCTAGACTACAACGGATTGTTGTAAATACTCTCTGTTTTAATCATATTCACCATTTCTTTTGGGCCCATATCTTATTTAGGATGCAATTCCATCATGTCCTCGAGAGTTAGTATTATTTGCCTTTGTTTTAGTAAGTATTTAATGTAGCGGTGATATTATGTGTTCAATATTACGTGCTGTCACCATTCAATAAAAATACAACTAAATAAATAAAATAAACTCCATTTTTTTTTATATGGTGTGATTATTGAATTATATAGAAGGATTAGTTATTTAATTGTGTGAGACTCACTTATTATTCTATTATTACCGAAGAGAGACACGACATGATATTATCAAATATTTTTTCTCCTCTACTTTATGTACCTGAGTCAACTTGCATTTAATAAGCTCATTAAGCTTGCAAGCATTGATTTCACCCTTCGTATTTGGAACATTAGTGGGCATCGGATAAAAGCTGTTTTTTCGAACCGTAAATCCTACTAGCCAACAAAAACAAAGAGGAATGAATGCCATTTGAGGCGCCCCACATCAAGAAAGAAGAACTCTTCCTATCTTCATCTTGCTGCGTCTAATTGGCCCACTCATTACATTTACCAAATTTCATTTTATAATGTGACATATTATTCATCACCGAAAAATAAATTAATTTCATTAACAATTATTGTGATAAAAAGCCTTGCCATTAAAAGTAATACTAATAACTATGTATTTGAATGATTATCTTCAGTATACTTCCTTTGAATGATAGATCATTCACTATATATTTGATAGCATCTCACATATGTATAGTGAGTCTGGTGAAACAAACATAAGAGACGAGAAGTAATAAGCATCTGCAGTGCAACCTAATAGCACTGCTGATAATCTGTTCAGTCGCCAAGTTAATCCACAAAAATTTATAGAAAAATGATGGATAAGAATCTTGTAGATTCAATCAATCAAATCAAACCGAAAATATATATTGTATACAAAGAAATATATTTCCTAGTCCTCCTGATTGCTCAGTTTCCTTAACTCTACCGATTATAAGACATAAGACGGTTGTGAGAGATACCAAACTATATTTTCCACAGTTCTACAAAAAAGAATGACAAAGCGCATCTGAGTATTCTCCCGCGGTTTTTTCCTGATTTGTCTTCGAAAACTCTACCTTGGAATTTAATTCATCTTTGCTCTCTTCCATACAATAACAGTGCCTCCAAAATCAGATGAGGCCAACAAATTCTCTCCATGGTTCCAAGCAATACCTATAACTGAGTAGCCATGACCCTGGAGTCATAAATTTTCTGATCACTGTGAGATATAAAAAATTTGAAAAAATTGAAGTCGAATATAAAAATCTGGTATGCAATTGAAATTGTACCTGTAGCTTGTTTACACATGTATGCCGTGGTCGAGTTAAATCGTAGAAGTACACATTTGCATCCTCACTACCGGCAACTTTCATTACATACAACAGATAATAATGTTAGCGAGAAATCAATCATGATTATTTCTAAAAGACAACAATGAAATTCCTATCAAAAAAGAAAAAAAATAGTCAAGAAAGAATTGAAATACAATAACTAAAAAGAAAGTGGAGAATCAAATTAGTAATTGCTGAGAATTCAAACTTAGATACAGACCGACATTTCAAGTCTTCACACTGTTTCAGATCAAACTTCTTCAAGTAAGAATCAGAAAAACCATACACGAAAATTTGTAGAAATAGCTCTGCAGTTTGGGATGTTTCTTGATTTCACAAAATGTAAAACACAAAGACCAGAAATCAAAAATAAATTTTATCAGTCCCAGGTGAAAAGTGCATTTCCTCTCTCTCTCTCTCTCTCTCACACACACACACACACACAAAAACATGTACACAACACAAATGAGAAATGACATCAATAGTAGCAAATGGAGGATTAAGGGTCAACCTTCTCCTAAAGTCTAANTCTTGAGGAGGCACTAGGGGGGTGGGGGGTGTTTGGGATGGAAAATATGAATCATTGTCCAGTGGAAAAAGGTTTACTTATTTAAAAAACCTAGTGGACATAGGGTTGGGAGAAAAAATTTCCGTTGCCGGGACTTGAACCCGGGTCTCTCGGGTGAGAGCCGAGTATCCTAACCACCTAGACTACAACGGATTGTTGTAAATACTCTCTGTTTTAATCATATTCACCATTTCTTTTGGGCCCATATCTTATTTAGGATGCAATTCCATCATGTCCTCGAGAGTTAGTATTATTTGCCTTTGTTTTAGTAAGTATTTAATGTAGCGGTGATATTATGTGTTCAATATTACGTGCTGTCACCATTCAATAAAAATACAACTAAATAAATAAAATAAACTCCATTTTTTTTTATATGGTGTGATTATTGAATTATATAGAAGGATTAGTTATTTAATTGTGTGAGACTCACTTATTATTCTATTATTACCGAAGAGAGACACGACATGATATTATCAAATATTTTTTCTCCTCTACTTTATGTACCTGAGTCAACTTGCATTTAATAAGCTCATTAAGCTTGCAAGCATTGATTTCACCCTTCGTATTTGGAACATTAGTGGGCATCGGATAAAAGCTGTTTTTTCGAACCGTAAATCCTACTAGCCAACAAAAACAAAGAGGAATGAATGCCATTTGAGGCGCCCCACATCAAGAAAGAAGAACTCTTCCGATCTTCATCTTGTTGCGTCTAATTGGCCCACTCATTACATTTACCAAATTTCATTTTATAATGTGACATATTATTCATCACTGAAAAATAAATGAATTTCATTAACAATTATTGTGATAAAAAGCCTTGCCATTAAAAGTAATACTAATAATTATGTATTTGAATGATTATCTTCAGTATACTTCCTTTGAATGATAGATCATTCACTATATATTTGATAGCATCTCACATATGTATAGTGAGTCTGGTGAAACAAACATAAGAGACGAGAAGTAATAAGCATCTGCAGTGCAACCTAATAGCACTGCTGATAATCTGTTCAGTCGCCAAGTTAATCCACAAAAATTTATAGAAAAATGATGGATAAGAATCTTGTAGATTCAATCAATCAAATCAAACCGAAAATATATATTGTATACAAAGAAATATATTTCCTAGTCCTCCTGATTGCTCAGTTTCCTTAACTCTACCGATTATAAGACATAAGACGGTTGTGAGAGATACCAAACTATATTTTCCACAGTTCTACAAAAAAGAATGACAAAGCGCATCTGAGTATTCTCCCGCGGTTTTTTCCTGATTTGTCTTCGAAAACTCTACCTTGGAATTTAATTCATCTTTGCTCTCTTCCATACAATAACAGTGCCTCCAAAATCAGATGAGGCCAACAAATTCTCTCCATGGTTCCAAGCAATACCTATAACTGAGTAGCCATGACCCTGGAGTCATAAATTTTCTGATCACTGTGAGATATAAAAAATTTGAAAAAATTGAAGTCGAATATAAAAATCTGGTATGCAATTGAAATTGTACCTGTAGCTTGTTTACACATGTATGCCGTGGTCGAGTTAAATCGTAGAAGTACACATTTGCATCCTCACTACCGGCAACTTTCATTACATACAACAGATAATAATGTTAGCGAGAAATCAATCATGATTATTTCTAAAAGACAACAATGAAATTCCTATCAAAAAAGAAAAAAAATAGTCAAGAAAGAATTGAAATACAATAACTAAAAAGAAAGTGGAGAATCAAATTAGTAATTGCTGAGAATTCAAACTTAGATACAGACCGACATTTCAAGTCTTCACACTGTTTCAGATCAAACTTCTTCAAGTAAGAATCAGAAAAACCATACACGAAAATTTGTAGAAATAGCTCTGCAGTTTGGGATGTTTCTTGATTTCACAAAATGTAAAACACAAAGACCAGAAATCAAAAATAAATTTTATCAGTCCCAGGTGAAAAGTGCATTTCCTCTCTCTCTCTCTCTCTCTCACACACACACACACACACACAAAAAAAAAAACATGTACACAACACAAATGAGAAATGACATCAATAGTAGCAAATGGAGGATTAAGGGTCAACCTTCTCCTAAAGTCTAAGCAAAAGAAACATCAAGAAAGAAACGCCCCAAAGAAACAGAACTAGAGTCCTTGACAGCCAAAAAAAAAAGTCCTTGACCGCACTGCTAAATAGTTGAATAAGGACAAAAATAGGTTGTAGAAGGTTGTGACCAATTCCAAGTATCCCCCTTTTGGCCAGGANAAGAAAGAAACGCCCCAAAGAAACAGAACTAGAGTCCTTGACAGCCAAAAAAAAAAAGTCCTTGACAGCACTGCTAAATAGTTGAATAAGGACAAAAATAGGTTGTAGAAGGTTGTGACCAATTCCAAGTATCCCCCTTTTGGCCAGGAATCCACCTTATTGCTATTTCTAACAAGCTAAAAATCTGACAATATTCCAGAGGAGCCACTCATGACTCAACTAATAATACCAAATAAGGGGAATGTCTGTAATGCAGAATAGATGGGACAGTTAAAAAAAAAAACAAAAATTTTGNAAGGACAAAAATAGGTTGTAGAAGGTTGTGACCAATTCCAAGTATCCCCCTTTTGGCCAGGAATCCACCTTATTGCTATTTCTAACAAGCTAAAAATCTGACAATATTCCAGAGGAGCCACTCATGACTCAACTAATAATACCAAATAAGGGGAATGTCTGTAATGCAGAATAGATGGGACAGTTAAAAAAAAATACCAAAAATTTCGTGCATGTCACGATTACTATGATATGCATAGCACACATGTCAAGGCTGAGAAACATTTAAGAGGAAATTTAGCCTTCAAAATCAACCCATCTGATCAGAAGTGGAAGGACTATTGCTCTTCACGAGGAAAAGAGAGAATGAGTTTGTTCCAATGCAACACTAAGGCAAGAAATTGCCATCTGTTGTCAGGATGAGGTATATTTGGATTCAAATTATAGAAAAATATGTGAACGGCAAACCTAGATCAAACAAGTAAAAGGATTAACTCTCCAGCAAAGCTCTTTCAAAACCTAATCCTATCTAATCCAATACAGCAGGGGAAGGTCAGGTGTTCTTTACAGATGGCTTTGTCAAAACTTGGAAGTGAGACTCATAATGGTCATATCAGCATTTGCAAGGGCAAGCATAAGCTTCCTCATAAAGGTGCACTAACCTACGACTAATTCTGTTATCGAACCCAGAATAATCTAGTCACAATCAAGTTCTATCTAGCCAGCCATCAAGTTATGAAAAAGCATACATGTTGAACAATAACCGAGGTCTTTTTCAGAAAACAAACTGCATCAACCTCCTCCATGAAGAAATGAGTGAAAATATCATGGACGTCACTAAGCAGCAAGAGGTAAAAAAATGCCTCTAAATGAATGCAGCTGCAGTTAAATTGAAAATAGATTCAACATTCGAACAAGACCCTTTACTGTGAGAATGAAGACAGTAGAACCATTAAGTTTATGTTGGTATGCACACCTATGTATTCTCCTTTTTCAAGGGAAAGCAGAGGGCAGAAAGAAGCACGGATGCTGTGTAGTCGTGGAGCCAATTTCAGTGAGCAACGAAGAGTCAAATAACCTTGTATCTCCAAAGCAACACTACGATGCCAAAAAAATAGACTTTCTTATCAGTGCTTCCAAAATAAAATCTCTGAACAAAAGCAAAAAATTTCCATCATGAGTAAATACCTAAAGAAAGACAAGTTTCCATCTCGAGTAAATATCAAAAGCACAGGGCCTCGTGCTAGTAGAGAAAATGTTCTGTACTGCACAGTTGTGATAGGAGATTTGCGCTTGCTGCTACTTCGATTACGATGAGACCGAGATAATGCACCTGTGTGAGAGTCCATTTTAACTGTATAAACACATCCCTGCACAATCAAGTAAGTCAACCATTTGGAAAAGGTCTATAAGATAAAATGAGAGTTCATCATACACTGAAGATGACAAAATGATTATGAAGCAGGCCCACCTGTGCATCCCCACAGAAAATTAGCTGACCAGTATGGTCATGGTCCATAGCAGTGACCTCACTGTCAAACACTGTTTTATTAATTATTCTTCCGGTGCTGAAATTGAACACCTGGAATACCAATAATATTTAATACGTATCAGATGGGAGATTCCACACATAAAGACAATCATGGAAAATAAAATGTGATTTTACAGTTTGACAGAAAATAAAACCATAACCAGCCAAGTTGAAGTAGCGTATTCTTACAGTACTATTGCAAGCATAGTCAGCCTATGTTTCAGAAAACAAACTCCCAAAAAAAAAGGGGAAATATTTTTCTCAAATTAGGAGATTCTGTGAACAGGTTATCTTCCTGCAGTCTAAGCACTATATAGATAGGAGTTTGCATCTTACTGATATTCTACACTTCAAAAGCACCAAATACAACTTTAAGGAATATAGATCTGACAAATTGACAAGACTGAGTCCATCTTGATGCTGCATTCGATATGCATTTGATAGCAGCAAATCCTCACAACCAGTTATAATTATCATAGCTTAAAGAATATACTGATTGCTGAGTAAAGTGCAAAAGCAAATACGGTTTGGTAAACTAAATCTGCAGGTACTTTGACAAAAAATGAGGTCTTTGATAAANCTGTACTGCACAGTTGTGATAGGAGATTTGCGCTTGCTGCTACTTCGATTACGATGAGACCGAGATAATGCACCTGTGTGAGAGTCCATTTTAACTGTATAAACACATCCCTGCACAATCAAGTAAGTCAACCATTTGGAAAAGGTCTATAAGATAAAATGAGAGTTCATCATACACTGAAGATGACAAAATGATTATGAAGCAGGCCCACCTGTGCATCCCCACAGAAAATTAGCTGACCAGTATGGTCATGGTCCATAGCAGTGACCTCACTGTCAAACACTGTTTTATTAATTATTCTTCCGGTGCTGAAATTGAACACCTGGAATACCAATAATATTTAATACGTATCAGATGGGAGATTCCACACATAAAGACAATCATGGAAAATAAAATGTGATTTTACAGTTTGACAGAAAATAAAACCATAACCAGCCAAGTTGAAGTAGCGTATTCTTACAGTACTATTGCAAGCATAGTCAGCCTATGTTTCAGAAAACAAACTCCCAAAAAAAAAGGGGAAATATTTTTCTCAAATTAGGAGATTCTGTGAACAGGTTATCTTCCTGCAGTCTAAGCACTATATAGATAGGAGTTTGCATCTTACTGATATTCTACACTTCAAAAGCACCAAATACAACTTTAAGGAATATAGATCTGACAAATTGACAAGACTGAGTCCATCTTGATGCTGCATTCGATATGCATTTGATAGCAGCAAATCCTCACAACCAGTTATAATTATCATAGCTTAAAGAATATACTGATTGCTGAGTAAAGTGCAAAAGCAAATACGGTTTGGTAAACTAAATCTGCAGGTACTTTGACAAAAAATGAGGTCTTTGATAAAGTGTGGAAGCAGAACTTTGGACAGAGAATATGCAACCCAGTCAGTAATTTTCGACACATAAGGCTCTCTGCAGATCCAAAATTAAAACGTCCATTTGCATATCTAGAGTAAATCTGTCCCCATCCCGCCTCCGTTATTTGGCCATTGCCTTCAGAATGCCCCTAGGTGATGTTGAAGTCTTTGGTGGTTCAAAGGGATCTTTCCCATTGGGACTGGTAATCCCTAGTTTTGTTCTGTCCTTTTTCTTTGTTCAGTTCAACCTGTGCAGGTTTGGGTGATTGAAGGTATCCCCTTCTTTATGATGCATAGAAGATCTATTTTTGGACAGAATATGCAACCCAGTCACCAATTTTCGACACATCAGGCTCTCTGCAGATCCAAAATTAAAATGTGCATTTGCATATCTAGAGTAAATCTGCCCCCATCCCGCCTCCGTTATTTGGTCATCGCGTTCAGAATGCCCCTAGGTGATGTTGAAGTCTTCGGTTGTTCAAACCGATCTTTCCTATTTGGACCTGTTATCCCTAGTTTTGTTCTGTCCTTTTTCTTTGTTCAGTTCAACCTGCGCAGGTTTGGGTGCTCGGAGGTATCCCCATCTTTACGATGCATAGAAGATTTNATCATAGCTTAAAGAATATACTGATTGCTGAGTAAAGTGCAAAAGCAAATACGGTTTGGTAAACTAAATCTGCAGGTACTTTGACAAAAAATGAGGTCTTTGATAAAGTGTGGAAGCAGAACTTTGGACAGAGAATATGCAACCCAGTCAGTAATTTTCGAAACATAAGGCTCTCTGCAGATCCAAAATTAAAACGTCCATTTGCATATCTAGAGTAAATCTGGCNAAGTGTGGAAGCAGAACTTTGGACAGAGAATATGCAACCCAGTCAGTAATTTTCGACACATAAGGCTCTCTGCAGATCCAAAATTAAAATGTCCATTTGCATATCTAGAGTAAATCTGTCCCCATCCCGCCTCCGTTATTTGGCCATTGCCTTCAGAATGCCCCTAGGTGATGTTGAAGTCTTTGGTGGTTCAAAGGGATCTTTCCCATTGGGACTGGTAATCCCTAGTTTTGTTCTGTCCTTTTTCTTTGTTCAGTTCAACCTGTGCAGGTTTGGGTGATTGAAGGTATCCCCTTCTTTATGATGCATAGAAGATCTATTTTTGGACAGAATATGCAACCCAGTCACCAATTTTCGACACATCAGGCTCTCTGCAGATCCAAAATTAAAATGTGCATTTGCATATCTAGAGTAAATCTGCCCCCATCCCGCCTCCGTTATTTGGTCATCGCGTTCAGAATGCCCCTAGGTGATGTTGAAGTCTTCGGTTGTTCAAACCGATCTTTCCTATTTGGACCTGTTATCCCTAGTTTTGTTCTGTCCTTTTTCTTTGTTCAGTTCAACCTGCGCAGGTTTGGGTGCTCGGAGGTATCCCCATCTTTACGATGCATAGAAGATTTATTTTTGTGTCCATTCTCTCAATGGGTAAAGGAGGAGAAAAGGGGAGAAAAGAGAGACACATTTGCATATTGCAAAAGGAAAAAGGGAATAGAAAGAAAATATGAACAAATGACAAAATTCAGTCACTGCAATAATAGTCCTAATGAAAAGTAGTAGGAAGTTGTGCATTAATTACGATTATTTCTTTGTTCGCATTGCCAACAGAAAGAAAGTTGTTGTTCACCTGCATCAAAAAAAGACAGGAAGATAAGCAAATTTATAGGCAAGTTTTATCAAGTGATTCATTTAGATAAATACAAGTTGTATTAGTCTATCAAAAGAAACTTGAACTAGTCCCTCTACAAGCTAATCAAAAATTTGAAAATGCAAACCTTTCAAAAATTGAAGAATAGAATAGATTATAAGAGAAATTAACTGAGTAGAAGCAATTTGAAAGCAAAAAAAAAAATAAAAGATATACAATAAAAATAGTATAAGACAATTGAAAATGTCCACTATTGTTCTTTTCAAGATCAATCACAAAGAATGTAATTCAGAAAACCTTGCCTGGTTGCAAAACACAAAATTTTGAATGTGGAAAATGGTACAGAAGAAGATCAACATTTTAATTGTTCTAAGTGGCTGAAGATTACACATGTTAGTGCATACTTACAGGGTTAAATCGGATACACAATTGTGAAGTGACTCCATATATTACACGAATGCAAAGGCCTTTGGAGATTTCCCATATTCTCACAGTTTTATCCAATGAGGACGACGCAATGTACTGATTGTTCAATGAGAAATCAAAATCTGGAAAGAGGACTGGAATTTCAGGGGACACACAAGAAAAGCAATACATGAAACTGTAAAACTTGGAGCCCATTCAATACATGGATAACATTACTTGATCAACTGCTTTGGAACCACGTACTAAAATCCAACAGAAGTGTGATTGTTCATACAAAGAAGCAGAAAGGCTTACATCATTGATTAACCGAAACTTCATACCCAAAGCAGGATTACACGTTTTTTGTTTTCATTTTTGGACAAGCTATTATGACAGTTTTAGACCCTATTGTAATCTTTTACAGACAAAATTAAACTTGTTAGAATATAAGTTTCACGATTTTTAAATAGACAACAAACTCTAGTGTCACAAAAATGACAACACTAGAAAACAAATAAATGAATGAAAAACAATCCTTAGGCAGAGCACTTGTAAGTTCAGTATGCTTTACCAACAGAACATCAGATTGTCCACAAGTTAACACAATAACCAACACATATAACATCTACAATTTGGGTACTAGAAGAGAAGTTCAGCCATAAAATACTTCAGAAGGTATCTAAGAAAAGTCCACAGAACCAGTACCAGATAATCCAACCTGTCACATCTTTTGAGTGTCCTGTTAACTGCTTAATAATTGAAGGTGGCTGTGAGACAATGCAGACTGTCAAGGTTCCATCTGATGCCCCATATGCAAGTAAATCTGAACTCATGTGCCCAAACTTTATAACCGTAACTGGAAATAACAATGTTTATGTTAGATAGATAAACAACTGAAGGATGGAAAGAAACCGTAGCAGATTGATCATCTAAGAAACATACCCATCGCTTTGCATTGGTCGAAGATGCAATGCATCCCCACAAAAGAATATGCAGGTTCAGACCTTCTACGTGGGTAATCACTATCGCTAGCATTTGAGCTGAAGCTCAGACTCTGACTCAATGCTTGACTGCCACTTTGTAGCTCCTGAAAAGGAAACAAGCATGCAACATATTAAAGTTACATGGAAAGAAGAAAGATTAAACGACTCTGAAATTTGTTGGTACAACTACCATTTGTTGAGATACATATATAATAACGAATACCGTTCAGAAAAAACAAAAAGTAAGGTAACAAACAAGACAGAAGACCCAGGAATTACATGTCAATAATCCACATGAATATTCAAGAGTAATAAATCAATGCCCAAGAATAACGATTCAACTAGCAAATCAACTCGATAAAGCCTGAAGTCCCTAGTACCTTAAGCAGGTACAACAATAAGTAATCAAGTGCAAATATCAAGAAATAAATTAGTATAGATTAAATTAACATAACAAGGATAATAAAATTCAGGATGTCACATGTTCCTTCTCAATATAGAGTTGCATGATGAACCATTCAAGACAATTGCTCCGCAGAAATCCTTGATGCAAAAGATTTGAACAACAGCTCTCTCTTGGGCGGGGTATTAAGTACATGTATCTTTACCGATTAACCAGCGCACTCACACACACACACACACACAGCTACTGGACCATTAAATATCATTACTTCACGATTTTTTGACATTGAGTCAAGCAAAAAATAACAGTAAAGACTCCATTGGAAAACACAGATATAGATAAACACAAGGATATACAGATCCAATGCCTTCAAGAAATTAAACGTGCAAAACTTTTATCCATTAAGTAGTAGTGGTAAAATGTCTGGGCTATAAACCACAACTTATTAGAGGGCAGTCCCTTTGTCTAAATGATTCTAAAGGTTACATACATATCCAGTTTACCTCTGTCAGTACCCTCAATTGACGAGTACCAAATTAGGAAATAGTGTTTTTTTGGTAGTATAGCTTTATACTCAAATCCCTTTATTGGAGCTGTCTCATATAAAAGAACCCCCACTTGTTTCACCAGCCAATATTAAAAATCAGCAGATAGTTCTAAATCAAAATTTGTCAGCTCTAAGAATCAAAATATGAATCAAGGAAAAGCATCCAAATTTTTGCCATTCTTTATTATCCATTCTATATGTTCAAGGGTCTAGGTTTTGGTCTGTGAAGCATTTTGGTTAGTCTCAATAACTCCTTTACTCATTTGCTGCCATGTGGCACAATATGGGAAATGTATTGATGACCACTTATGTTTCAATAGGTCCCACTGATATGATTTTGGAAGAATTAGAAAAATATTACAAAGAAAGGGAGTACAACACGTGTATATTGCATGGCCACGGTTGGTTTTCCTTTTTGTAGCCACTCAAAGATGTATCATAGATTCCTGAAAGCTATACAACAAACACAATGTCTAGTAAATAATTATCAAAAAGAATCACACATACCCGGTTAGTGCTCCAGCTGTCCACATCTAATAAAATGGAGAGTGGACTTGAAGATGGCATCCATCGCCCACTGATGCATCAACCAGTAAATTACCCTGATGTCAGCATTGTATGGAAACATAAATTCAAATAATACTCATCAATCAGAAAGCTGCAGAGTGTAAATCATAAACTTCTTCACAATTTTTATTTTTTTAGCAGTATTTCCAAATAAAGAAAACTACAAGGTCAAAGCTTTCATGTACTGGTATAATCCATTAGTCAAGTAACCATAGGTGATAGACTGTGACCAAAAGATCTCTTCCTCTCTCTATGACGAGTTTGTAATCCTATGGCTTTCTATTTCCATTGACTTGGAACTTATAATAAATCAGCCATTGTTCATCGACAAAAGGTGTATATTTGCCCAGGCCTACGCAGCATCCGTGTGTGAACATTCTCACTTCATGATGTAAAATCAAGTAAATAAATTCGTTCAAAATGCGACATGAGTTCAGGTAATGATAGGGATTAATCAAATCATCATTATACTCGTTGGAATCAAGTAAAAATTTTTGCGACCTTTGTCCAGGAGTGCTTGAATGGCTCGGTGTGTGTAAACTTTCCCAATTCTGCGGCCTGTTAATGTAATTACGAAAAGCGACATATCCTTTTCCATTGCATCTCCAGTCCTTCAACAAATAAATTAGTACACTAAGCCAATGCTTATACAAAACAAAAACAAAAATTCCAGTGATGCTTCCAAACAAAACAGTTGAAAGTATATTGAATACAAAAATATACAAAACGTAAATATCATAGCATTGATGCTTCGGCAAAAACTGCTTCCCAAGAGAAGGTAAAATTACTGATCCAATCATACATACACATGTCTTAATACGTGAATATAATACGAATATATAATTGTACCTTGCGGCGAAGAAAACCAGACTCAGCTTTACGAGAGAGGAGAAGACGGCGAATTCCAATGTAATTGGGATCAGAGTCCGCAGGCGAAGGCTGAAGCAGACAGCTGAGGAATTCTGGATCGTTCGTAACGTCTTCTTTCTTCGCACTGCTCGTCGGATCATCATCTTCAAACGACTTCTTCTCGATCGCCTGCTCTGCCATTCTATGGAACTTCCGATTGATTCTTCATCAGAAACTACCGATCTCTCGAAAAAACGCAGATTTCTCAAGAAAGATCGATCTTGGAATGGAATCTTTTGGAATCAGACGCTTATATTTTTGGCTTGTGTGAGTGTTTTCAGACGATTTCAAGAAAGATTGATCTTGAAACTGAATCTTTGCAATCAGAGATTTGATTTTTGGCTTTGAAGATGAGTATTGCGAGTGTTTTTCAGCAGATTTCAAGAAAGATTGATCCTGGAACTGAATCTTTGAAAAGCAGAGGTTTGAATTTGGGATTGAAAATGAGTATGTAGAGTGTTTTTCAGGTGAAGGCCGTCTCTGAATCTTCAGCGGAAAAAAATAGAGTCCCTCAATGTGCTGCTTATTATAGCCGATGGTTAGACGGCTTTGGGCTTGTAAGCATGTGCAATGCCCACTTATCCAATGTCGGTTAAGTGTGAGAACTACGTTCTGTTTGGTGACGATACATTTTAAATTCCGGATATAATGAGGAAATTAGCCCAACCCCACCGTAGTGCTAAAAAGAAAAGGACAAATGACACTTTGCATCTCCAAATATTTTTGGATTCTCAATTTACATCCTAGAAGAATGAAATTGTTATATTGTATCCTCAATCAAACAGAAAAGGTAGAAATGCGCACTATTTTAAAAAAATTAATTGCTAATTTTTTTGGTGAAAATAATTAAAATTAAGTATTATGCAACCAATAGGACAAATAAAAAATTTACCAGAAAAGATAGTCAACATTCATTTTTGAACTACATTGTTATATTTTTATCGGATTGATGGTGTAATGTGATAATTTTAATATTTTAAGATTAAAATTACAAATTTGAAAATCTTTTAAGATGTAAAGTGTCTTTTCTTCAAAAGAAATGAACTAATTGTATAGTGCTTCATGTTCCAATGAATTTTTTTTTTTGAGAGTGAGAAAATTTTTAAATCAATCATCATCTTTCTTTTTACGATATCATGTCTATATATAAATTTATCTGAATATGATATTATGTGACAATTTAAAGTTGATGCATAAACTAACATACAAATCGGGTCCTATACATTAAATTTGATTTTCAAATTTTTTTACGTGTATATTGTCTTTATATCATTGAGTATATGCTCTAGGGAGATGGAGTGGGAGCAATGTCATGCTTGTAGCAATGGGGGTGACAATGGTGATGAATATAGGAAGATCTACGTGTGTGCATCCGTCTTATTGTCTTTATATCATTAAGTCTAATGTATTCTTGTCATAACAAGATGAATTATTATTCAACTTTTGGTTAGACTCCGATTTCTACAAGACTACAATAAATGACAAGGTGCCACAGAGCAGGTTATGCATTTCTCATATATCATCAAACTTTGGATAAACAATTACTGAGAGCAAGATCAACTCAGTGAAAGCTCAAATGGAAGGGTTTCAAAACTTTATTGAGTTCAGATTTTGCACACCGCACAACAATAGAAATAATTTTTTTAAAGCTCATCATCGGGCACTTGTAGAATCATCAACTGGATGCCAAAACCGGTTATAAAACCATAAGGAATCAGCTTGTACAGCGTAGCCATCCTGATTTCGATGCCAACTATAATAAGCATGGGTTCGATTCTTGATATCGAAAATGGCATGACCAAAACTAGCCTCACGGAAAGCTGAGTACTTTGGCTGTGGCTCTGTCATGCTGCAATTTAGCAAGAAGAATTTTAGCTCAGTTTTCTATTAGAAGTTGGGGTGTCAGAATATGACATAACTTGTTAACACGATATAAAATTAGAAGGTTTATGTATTTCTTAAACTACCGATTTGATAAATGAGTGAATTCGACACGACACGATTAATAAACGGATCAGGTATAAGTGAAACCAGTTAAAAAAAATATACGATACGACTCGTTTAAATAANGCAGAAATCCTTGATGCAAAAGATTTGAACAACAGCTCTCTCTTGGGCGGGGTATCAAGTACATGTATCTTTACCGATTAACCAGCGCACTCACACACATACACACACAGCTACTGGACCATTAAATATCATTACTTCACGATTTTTTGACATTGAGTCAAGCAAAAAATAACAGTAAGGACTCCATTGCAAAACACAGATATAGATAAACACAAGGATATACAGATCCAATGCCTTCAAGAAATTAAACGTGCAAAACTTTTATCCATTAAGTAGTAGTGGTAAAATGTCTGGGCTATAAACCACAACTTATTAGAGGGCAGTCCCTTTGTCTAAATGATTCTAAAGGTTACATACATATCCAGTTTACCTCTGTCAGTACCCTCAATTGACGAGTACCAAATTAGGAAATAGTGTTTTTTTGGTAGTATAGCTTTATACTCAAATCCCTTTATTGGAGCTGTCTCATATAAAAGAACCCCCACTTGTTTCACCAGCCAATATTAAAAATCAGCAGATAGTTCTAAATCAAAATTTGTCAGCTCTAAGAATCAAAATATGAATCAAGGAAAAGCATCCAAATTTTTGCCATTCTTTATTATCCATTCTATATGTTCAAGGGTCTAGGTTTTGGTCCGTGAAGCATTTTGGTTAGTCTCAATAACTCCTTTACTCATTTGCTGCCACGTGGCACAATATGGGAAATGTATTGATGACCACTTATGTTTCAATAGGTCTCACTGATATGATTTTGGAAGAATTAGAAAAATATTACAAAGAAGGGGAGTACAACACGTGTATATTGCATGGCCACGGTTGGTTTTCCTTTTTGTAGCCACTCAAAGATGTATCATAGATTCCTGAAAGCTATACAACAAACACAATGTCTAGTAAATAATTATCAAAAAGAATCACACATACCCGGTTAGTGCTCCAGCTGTCCACATCTAATAAAATGGAGAGTGGACTTGAAGATGGCATCCATCGCCCACTGATGCATCAACCAGTAAATTACCCTGATGTCAGCATTGTATGGAAACATAAATTCAAATAATACTCATCAATCAGAAAGCTGCAGAGTGTAAATCATAAACTTCTTCACAATTTTTATTTTTTTAGCAGTATTTCCAAATAAAGAAAACTACAAGGTCAAAGCTTTCATGTACTGGTATAATCCATTAGTCAAGTAACCATAGGTGATAGACTGTGACCAAAAGATCTCTTCCTCTCTCTACGACGAGTTTGTAATCCTATGACTTTCTATTTCCATTGACTTGGAACTTATAATAAATCAGCCATTGTTCATCGACAAAAGGTGTATATTTGCCCAGGCCTACGCAGCATCCGTGTGTGAACATTCTCACTTCATGATGTAAAATCAAGTAAATAAATTCGTTCAAAATGCGACATGAGTTCAGGTAATGATAGGGATTAATCAAATCATCATTATACTCGTTGGAATCAAGTAAAAATTTTTGCGACCTTTGTCCAGGAGTGCTTGAATGGCTCGGTGTGTGTAAACTTTCCCAATTCTGCGGCCTGTTAATGTAATTACGAAAAGCGACATATCCTTTTCCATTGCATCTCCAGTCCTTCAACAAATAAATTAGTACACTAAGCCAATGCTTATACAAAACAAAAACAAAAATTCCAGTGATGCTTCCAAACAAAACAGTTGAAAGTATATTGAATACAAAAATATACAAAACGTAAATATCATAGCATTGATGCTTCGGCAAAAACTGCTTCCCAAGAGAAGGTAAAATTACTGATCCAATCATACATACACATGTCTTAATACGTGAATATAATACGAATATATAATTGTACCTTGCGGCGAAGAAAACCAGACTCAGCTTTACGAGAGAGGAGAAGACGGCGAATTCCAATGTAATTGGGATCAGAGTCCGCAGGCGAAGGCTGAAGCAGACAGCTGAGGAATTCTGGATCGTTCGTAACGTCTTCTTTCTTCGCACTGCTCGTCGGATCATCATCTTCAAACGACTTCTTCTCGATCGCCTGCTCTGCCATTCTATGGAACTTCCGATTGATTCTTCATCAGAAACTACCGATCTCTCGAAAAAACGCAGATTTCTCAAGAAAGATCGATCTTGGAATGGAATCTTTTGGAATCAGACGCTTATATTTTTGGCTTGTGTGAGTGTTTTCAGACGATTTCAAGAAAGATTGATCTTGAAACTGAATCTTTGCAATCAGAGATTTGATTTTTGGCTTTGAAGATGAGTATTGCGAGTGTTTTTCAGCAGATTTCAAGAAAGATTGATCCTGGAACTGAATCTTTGAAAAGCAGAGGTTTGAATTTGGGATTGAAAATGAGTATGTAGAGTGTTTTTCAGGTGAAGGCCGTCTCTGAATCTTCAGCGGAAAAAAATAGAGTCCCTCAATGTGCTGCTTATTATAGCCGATGGTTAGACGGCTTTGGGCTTGTAAGCATGTGCAATGCCCACTTATCCAATGTCGGTTAAGTGTGAGAACTACGTTCTGTTTGGTGACGATACATTTTAAATTCCGGATATAATGAGGAAATTAGCCCAACCCCACCTTAGTGCTAAAAAGAAAAGGACAAATGACACTTTGCATCTCCAAATATTTTTGGATTCTCAATTTACATCCTAAAAGAATGAAATTGTTATATTGTATCCTCAATCAAACAGAAAAGGTAGAAATGCGCACTATTTTAAAAAAATTAATTGCTAATTTTTTTGGTGAAAATAATTAAAATTAAGTATTATGCAACCAATAGGACAAATAAAAAAATTTACCAGAAAAGATAGTCAACATTCATTTTTGAAGTACATTGTTATATTTTTATCGGATTGATGGTGTAATGTGATAATTTTAATCTTTTAAGATTAAAATTACAAATTTGAAAATCTTTTAAGATGTAAAGTGTCTTTTCTTCAAAGGAAATGAACTAATTGTATAGTGCTTCATGTTCCAATGAATTTTTTTTTTTTGAGAGCGAGAGAAAAATTTTAAATCAATCATCATCTTTCTTTTTACGATATCATGTCTATATATAAATTTATCTGAATATGTTATTATGTGATAATTTAAAGTTGATGCATAAACTAACATACAAATCGGGTCTTATGCATTAAATTTGATTTTCAAATTTTTTTACGTGTATATTGTCTTTATATCATTGAGTATATGCTCTAGGGAGATGGAGTGGGAGCAATGTCATGCTTGTAGCAATGGGGGTGACAAAGGTGATGAATATAGGAAGATCTACGTGTGTGTGCATCCGTCTTATTTTCCTATAAGTCCAATGTATTCTTGTCATAACAAGATGAATTATTATTCAACTTTTGATTAGACTCCGATTTCTACAAGACTACAATAAATGACAAGGTGCCACAGAGCAGGTTATGCATTTCTCATATATCATCAAACTTCGGATAAACAATTACTGAGAGCAAGATCAACTCAGTGAAAGCTCAAATGGAAGGGTTTCAAAACTTTATTGAGTTCAGATTTTGCACACCGCACAACAATAGAAATATTTTTTTTTTTCTCATCATCGGGCACTTGTAGAATCATCAACTGGATGCCAAAACCGGTTATAAAACCATAAGGAATCAGCTTGTACAGCGTAGCCATCCTGATTTCGATGCCAACTATAATAAGCATGGGTTCGATTCTTGATATCGAAAATGGCATGACCAAAACTAGCCTCACGGAAAGCTGAGTACTTTGGCTGTGGCTCTGTCATGCTGCAATTTAGCAAGAAGAATTTTAGCTTAGTTTTCTATTAGAAGTTGGGGTGTCAGAATATGACATAACTTGTTAACACGACATAAAATTAGAAGGTTTATGTATTTCTTAAACTACCGATTTGATAAATGAGTGAACTCGACACGACACGATTAATAAACGAATCAGGTATAAGTGAAACCAGTTAAAAAAAATATACGATACGACTCGTTTAAATAACAGTTATAGACAACATGAACCCAATATGATACGATTCGTTAGACATGAATTAATAAACGAATCGGGTCCGAGTAAAGTATTTTTTTACACAAACCCACTAAGACTCGACACAATTGACAAGCCTAATTACAATGTAAATACTACAAAGAAGTGACGTTTTGGTATTGTGACTAAAATAGTAATTCAATCGATTTAAGTCATTACTCAAACATGGCAAGTCATGCTTCAATGGGATTGATTAGAATCAATCTCTAAAACTTGGGATTAGTCCCAATTTTTTCAAACCTTATTGACTTGGAATAGTACCATGCTTGAGTCATGAATTGACTTAATTGAATCATAACTTTTTTGTAGTTCTTGCGGGTGCAGAATTAGGTATTGGAGACTTCTAANAATTGAATCATAACTTTTTTGTAGTTCTTGCGGGTGCAGAATTAGGTATTGGAGACTTCTAAATAAGGAGGCTAGTATATCATAAAAAGAGCAATCTTATAACTAATACTGATATTACCTGGCTGTCAAGCCTTCAAGATTTCCTCCATCACCAATGGTTATGTATACAGGGGCAGATTGGTCACTAACAGGATGGCAATTGCCGTTTATAATATTGTAAGCAATGTTGGATACTCGTTCCTGTCATTTACAAACATTAGGTGTCAAGTTATAGTAGAATGAGTATGTTTGCGATAAAAATAGAGAATGCTACACCAAATAAGTAGCCCAGTGTACGGGACTACAGTTACCGTGCTTGTGAGGGTTCAATGTATGCGGGGAGAGCCTATTGCAGTAGATTGTTTCTACAAATATACGTGCAAAGCGTTTTAATTTCAGAACGACTGTCATTACAAACTATACTAATGCCCATTCTGGATTTTCCTCCATAAGTTCTCCTAACATTTAGAAAAGAATTTCTATTTCTCGATTCTGCTTCATTATGACCTAAGCATCATACGTCCAATGTCTCAAAGTACGAGGATAAGCGTGCATACCCTTGATGCTCTGAGTTGTCTCATTTTATGCATTTAAATAGGACCCAACTTGCTGTTGAAGCAAAAGCTTTCAATACTTATTATGCAAAGGGGTTCATTAAAACCAAACAAAGCTAGAAGTACATTGCAAAACATTAAAGAAAAAGGGAGTGAACTTACTGATCTTTCATAGGCATGGACATGACCAGCAAACACAACATCAACTTTGTACTTCACAAACCATGGCTCATACATTACTCTCATGGTTTCCCCTTCCATAAAATGATAGTTGTAGCTGTTATACCATGGGGAATGCATGAGAACAATTAACCATGGTGTCTCTCTTCTGTTTACCTTTGGTAGTTCCTCCTCCAGCCATGTGTTCTGAGGAGTGTACTTGCCTGGAAAGAAAAAACAAATGGAAAGTAGATGCTCAAAATCATTACATCCTTAAAACTAATATATTGGAGGGACAGAAGAGTTTGAACAGGAAAGTGATTTTAGGGTTTCATTAGTTCCAAATAAAATAGTCTATCTGCCAACTTCTTTCTATACGAGCCATTATTCTTGGTCAATATAGAAGTCTCTCGTGCGGGCGAAGGTGATACATTTCTGGTACTGGTGGTATCGGACAAGTTCTTAGAGAATAACCTCTTTCTTATTTCTGCCTTTCTTGCCTATGATGACTAGGGACAAAACAAATCCAAAATTTCACTTTGGATTCCAAGTCCAATATTCAAAAGACAAATTAAATCCTTGATGAAAGTGTAGCCACCACAACGCTAGGAAATAGAACCTTCAATTGGAGTAAAAGTATCCGTCCCAAAATAAGTCTTTTATGTTATTTTGGCTCTCATTCTTTGAATGTTACCCCTTTAGTCCCTTGGCTTTCCAATGTTTGTCATTTTTGACTAATCAAAAACAGTGATTCAAATTGACAAGTGGATGTAGTCAGGTAAGTCTCGTGTGGCCACATACAAGTGATCAATTTGGACCCTCAAGTTTCCTACTAACCATCATTTTGAGAGAATGGAATTGAAAAAAAAAAGAACGAAAGTGATACAAAGCGCATACTTGAACGACTATTACTGCATTATTTTTAGAGACATAATTTGTCATTTGCTTGAAAACAGAAGAAACTCCATAATTACTTATGTTTTGTTGATAGATGAATGTGTTTAGGGATATCATTTCATGTTGATAAATTACTGAAATATGAAAACACATTAAAGTCCTTACCATATGCTGAATACGAAGACAAGACTATAATATATGCTGAAGCTCTCTTGATTGAATACCACAAGGGAGAAGAGCTCTTTGAAGCTTTATAAGGGACAGGGTAGCGATGAGTATAAGGTTTGAAGGGTTGAGTTTCACCCTGGAAAACACAAATCAACACTCTTCTGTTACAAAAATCATTTTTCTCCAGCAACAATTCAAGGCTTCACAGACAATCATATTAGGTTGGCACATAAATAAAAGGGCAGCAAATATCATAATAAGTTTGGAAGAAACGACGACACATGACATAGACAGACACATGACAAACACATGACTTGTCTCCGTTTGTTCTAACAACTAAAATTGATGGAAGGACTTAATTAAAACGAAATTAATAATTGAAGAACTAAATAAAGACAATTGAAAGTTTAAAGACCATTTTAAAACGGAAGACAAAGTTTGAGTACTAATTGTAATCTTTACATTGTTGACAAGTTATATTTCCCAAGGCTGAGTCTAAGAAGGGTCAATTTCATAATCAGGAGCTAGGATACTGTCCACACAACCACCATAAAAAGAAATTCATCGTAAGAAGCAGGCAGTTAGGGAAAAGAATTTCCCTGAGTTAGAAAAAGGAGTTATAGTTGATGCAACGTAGTATTATTCTCAGACACTCCATGTTCAAAAAGTAGAGACAAATTGCATCAATGAAGGCATAGGGAGATACCTATCTAAATACATGAGATTTAATCAGCCAAGCTTGTCGAGCTTGAATATGACTAACATTTGGTTCGGTTGTGACTATCCAAGATTCTTGCTGAAGCTCAGTTGGACCGAAGCTTGGGAACATTCAAACCAAAACGGAGCTTATTTTGTCAATATTTTCGAAAGCTAAGCCTGAATTTAACAATCGATCCCAAAATAATCAATTCAACAAAAATCACCCAAAAAATTCATAACCAAATCCTAAAAGTTCAAATTTGTAGAAAAATCAATTAGATAAGGGATACAATGGAATGGGGAGACAAGTTCACATGACTTGGGCCAATTTGAGAACAAGTTTGGGACTGTCATTTTTTGAAGGAGGGTTGTTTGCCAATAAAATTAGAATTAATTATAGACAGGATCCTATTTGAGACGAGCTGAGCAGAGCCGAGCCTGCCCGAGTCAAGTCACATATTACTTCAACTCGTTTCAAGTTTAAAAATCATTGGATTCTATTCATTTGAACAACCATGAACAAGCCAAAGTCGAGTTGAGCTCAAATTGCTTGGATCGTTTAATCGAAGAAATCCCAAATGAGCTAGACTTCACTCTATATGAATTATGAACCTCCACAAAGCAAAAGTAATGTTGTAGGCATCTCTTTTAGAAAATCAGAAATAACAATGTCTAAGAAACAAATAAAGCGGTGCACGATGCATACTAATTCAGGAGCAAAATCGATCTCATGATTTCCAGCAGTCCAAATCCAAGGTTGGTAAGCAGCAATTCTTTCAACAAACCTTCCCCATGTATCCCATCTTACATTGTTGTAATCATAGTTATCTGCATATGAGAGGTCCCCCACGAACAAAACTGCTTTTCCTTTTGTCGGATTTAATTCATAATGGGTAAGTGTCGTGTTTGAATCGTAACTCTGACCAAGATCTCCTGCAATAACATGATGAATTTGATCAAAAATAGATACGTTCAAACTCAGAGACATTGGGGCTCATTAACATTATAAAATAAGACAGTAACATATGTGCAATTTTATTTTGCATATCCAAATGAAAGCCAGAAGAAACTACGGCCTAGATGTGTTTGATAAATTGCCCAGCTCAAGAAGAAGCAGTTGATCCTAAGACACATTTGTCAGAATCAACTCATGCTGCATATTTCTAGACCCATCTCTTTTGTTATTTGGTTATTCACTTGACAGTGGGTCAACGTGTTGGGTTTATGTTGTGTCAAATTAAAATTTGATTAACTCGTAGTTGAATATAGTCAAATTTGTATCACACTTATATTTACCCGGTTCACACTGACAAACTTATTAAACGGGTTTCCCAGGTTTCATCCATTTACCACCAAACCCGATTAAAACTAAACAACAAAGTCCATAATTAATATCAATTTCACGAGTCGTGTATAAAAGTAAGTCTGCACTGTTCTTGTTACATAAATACATCTAGCCAATTCAACATTCTCTGATAACTAACAAGGCCTCTCAAAAGGAAATAAAACCCTTTACTTTTTAACAACATGGAAGACCAAACCACACTATCAATGGTTAAAAACGGATTGAGATCCTCTCCATTATTTTTTCACACAATTTTATTCAATGGTAAATCACCTATTATGTATTTNGGAAGACCAAACCACACTATCAATGGTTAAAAACGGATTGAGATCCTCTCCATTACTTTTTCACACAATTTTATTCAATGGTAAATCACCTATTATGTATTTACGTGAGACCTATTATTTATATGTAAACTTCTCACTTATACACGGTGAATGATCTACTTTTGAGTGAAATTGTGTGAAAAATAAAAGAGAGAATTTAGATCCATTGGAAACAACTCAAACAAGCAAGCTCCTAAGTAACCTATATGGAGTTAATCAGGGAAAAAAGAGGTTTACCCATTAGACCAAAAGTATATGGGACATCAGGGCCAACTTGAGGAGGAGTTATGAACCAGAAAGTCCGTGCTGTGCGTCCAATCCCGACCTCGTAGTAGTACTTGGTGTTGAACTGTCACAATCAAATAATGAATTGATTTTAAAAAACACATCTTCCAATTTCCTCACCAAATTCAAATCCTCAGGCTAAGAATTGTGCATAAAAACATAGAGCAGAAACAGGGGATTATATGATTGTGCATAAAAAAACTTGATTTGATATAAACAATTTCAATGTGACAAATTCAAATATGAAGTAAATCGAAATATGATGGTTCGATCTTTAAAGGAAGATAAAATCTGATTAATGAAGATTTCAGTAAAAATTGAAGTCTTCTTTGATATGAATTTGAATAAAAGACTAAAATTTGTTTTTACCTTGTTTTTACTCAAATTTAAATTTGAGTCGAGATTTAAGTAACGGTTGAATATGTTCTTATAAATTTTTAATTCTCAACGTACATGACTCGACTCGATTGCCACATTTATTGTATGTGTGTGAGCAATTCTCAAGAAACAAGAATAATTCTAGGAACTGAAAGTTTACCTTCAAATTCATGATGGTGCAGTGATGGATATAACCAGAAGTATAGTTGTGGAATTTATAAGTAGTAACCATTCCCTTGGCCTTGTTCTTTTGCTTGCTGTTTTCACTCCAATATACAACTGTATCTGAACCAGGTCCATTCATGGTAACCCATGAGACAATCACTGCCTTCCCCACATGATCTCCTTGTGTTATATGAACCTTGAAAACAAACCACCCCCCAAAACAATATCTTTAAAACTAAATTTGACTGATAAAAAATACCCACAAATATTATTTAATAAAAACAAATTTAAGAATGTCTGTATTCAAGGGAATTAAAAAAAAATTAACAAATTCAAGATTATGGCAAAACAGAGTAAGTCCCGAAGAACGATTATAAGTTAGGGTGTCAAAATATGACACGACAGTTAACTCCACATAAACACGTCATAAAATTAGAGGTTTGGATCTTTCTTAAATCATCCGTTTAGTAAATAATTGGATCCAAAATGACATGATTAATAAACGAATTAAATATGAGTAAAGTCAATCTCAGATGATATACACGATATGACTTATTTATATATCAATTATATATAGTTTATACATGATATAAATTCGATATTAGATAATTAGCCAGATATGAATTAATAAATAAATAAAATAAGAGTGAATTATTTTTTGATACAAACCCACTAAGATTCGACGTGAATCTATCTCATCCAGCAAGATTGACATGTCCTAGTTATAAGTATGAAACAAATGGCTCACAGAAGAAACAGTGAGTTTTTTATGATTATCTCATGAAAACCCATCAAAAGAAGTATATAAACAATTGAAAACTCAAGATCAGTTCATTTTTACAATTTAAATCACCAGAAAATTAGGGGGGAAAAACAGATGAAGAGAAAAACATAAATAGACAGACCTGTTGGGGCGCATTATAGTGAGGAGGCGCACGGAAAACATCACTATGAAGAGGCATGTCAATGGTTTTCTCAACCTTCCTCACAAAACTGCTCGTAATCCCTCCGTTACACAGTTCTGCTAAATTCAGCAGCAAGCACAGAAGAGGAGGGACAGACCACCACAAAAAACTAGGCACACCCATCTTATCCTGTGCACTCTTCACCTCTCCTTCAACATCTATTTATAGTCTTCACTCCTGCCTATACAGGATTTTTGCGCAAAGCAACTAAAATTGGTATCCACTTTAATATTGTACTTTATTGAGTTGTCGAACGAGTGTTACATTCGTTAGTGATGAGATGGTCCCCGTCACTTCACCTAGGTGCACACTTTAGGCTGAAAATTCAAGTCAAATATTCTGGTAACGGCTGAAATGAATTCGTTTCACGTCAAATATTCTCGTACCGGCTGAAATGAATTCGTGTCAAATTTTAACAGACTTGTCTTAAAAAGACATTCAATTCATACTTGATTTGTTTATTAATCGGTGTATAATAAATTATATTATATTGAATTTATGTCATGTATAAATTGTATATAATTAATATACAAATGAGTCATGTCGTATATTTTTTTTAATTGACTTTATTTATACCCGATTCGTTTATTAATTATGTCAAGCCACTGTATAGACTCAGCTCCTATGCAAGATGCGAAACCAATGATCATCATTTATTATAAGTTTTGTTTGAGAGGGAGATTACCAAGGTACCGAATGAGTTTCACATTGGTTGGTGATATAGAAGTCTAAAATTATATAAGAGAGCGAGTCACTCCAACTACTAGATGCGTCTTTTGGCGTAAAAAACCATGTCCAACATACTTTCATCAATTTTAATTATTAATTTTGAATTGAATGATCTAAAATCATTGGTAAAAAAATATAATAAAGTAATAAAAATTATACACTTGATATTTTTTTATTCAGTAAAAGATAAAAATATGATACCAAAAAATATTTTTTAATATTTATCTTCAGAACAGAGAAATAATTGATTAAAAAATCAAAATAAATTGACACAAATATTACTACCCATTCAAAAAAAAAAAGTCAGAGTATCAAACAAAAAGGAGTTTGGAAAGGGCCCTAAAAGTGCAAAGTAGTAGCCTCCCAAATAAAGCTACACATAGATTTCAACGGCTCGTATCAATCTTGCAATCGGTCAATATTCTTCTTGCCTCTACTTTTCTTATAGCCTTCGTTCTCCTTCCACTCTCCTTAAAAGGGCATAGCATCACTCACTTCCCACACACAAAATTACAGCCATGTAAAGATGAAATTTACTCAATTAATCCTTGAATTATTTATAATCATATAAAATTCAGTTCGTTATATAAATCATATCATGTTTAATCAGACTTGTGTCAACTTATTTATTAAACAAGTAAAATTGATTAAATTATAAGCTAAATTAGTATTTCTTAATCCTGTAAACGGTTTTGTATCAAATTTTTAAAAAAGCAATGCCCAGAATTGTCTTTCAATTCCTTTTTATGGGCAATGTATTTCCGAACCCGTCAATCCCTTCCTTTTTGATCAACTCTCAACTCTGAAATTCATGAATGGCAGTATGGTATAAAATACATCGTTTTCATAGGGCATTTTAGCATTTGGATTAAATGGCTTGTTGGAGTGGGAGTGTGTTGCACATTCTTAGTGAGGTGTGGTTGTTATATTTTTGTCATAATAATATAGAAGAATGACGTGAAGCCCTCAATGTGTAAAGTGAATCTAAGCACGCATATTGGACTAGAAATGCTCCGTGCCATGATTTGAACGGCTGGACTAGACACACCAGACTCTCTAAGCCATTCTTAGTGGTCGACTGGTCCCATGTTCCTCAATAGGATGTATAGTTTTTTAGTATTCGACCTACCAACGTTTAGTACATGGGTTTGACCATCGTAGTATATTGAGAAGAATGTTGATGGTCATTAAATAAATCTATTTAACATCGTCAAATGGATTTATTGAAATATGTCATGTTTTATATTATAGATTTATAAGTTAATTTATCATCTTTGTAGATCAAACTTATCACTTTTTTGTGGTTTTTTTTTTTCACTTTAAAAAGTGAAATTTGATACCGATAAAAACAAGAAATGTATAAAGTTGTCTTGTGTCATAATTTCAGTATAAAATAAGAGTAAGTTTGAGATTAAGCCAAGTGAAATTTTAATAAAATCGTTATGTTGGATCGATTTTAAAATATTAGGATCTATAACAAATAATTATATTTTGTATAATCTCGAGATCAAAACTTCATGCTTGATCCACTCATCAAAATTTAGATAATATTAACCTGATAAAAAATATATATCTGAAAAAAGAGAATCAAACAATGTGACGTTAAGATGATAAGTAAAATTTAGACTTTGAAATAATATAAATAGGGCAAAAAACATAATTACGGAAATGGTTTTCTATTTGATTCCTTTTATCGTCTTATTTTTTGTTCCTTTTTGAAACGTTTTCGTTTTTAACTTTTCAAAGAAGATTGAAGCGAATCAATGATTGAATCAAAAGTCCAATACTTTGAGATGTTTCAAAATGTTTGAAGGTGATTCGAGATGTTTCGATATATTTTCACCAATATTTCAAATTGTTTCAAGGTATTTCAATTTATTTCGATCAATGTTTTGAAAGTTTTTTTGAAATAAATTCCCACATTTTTTTTCCTTTCATTCTATTTTCAAAACGTTTCCATTTCTCAACAGAAGACCGAAACAATATACCGAAAGAAAATTTTGATCCTTCCTTAACACTCTATTAATGAACTGTCCATGTTCAGAGAAAGAAACATCAACCAAATATAAACATGTAGCTGGTATACTGTGTACAATATACCAAGACTAGTCAGGCCTAATTAAACAGACTAATTGAAACTCATGTCTCTAGATAAAAAAATAAAATAAAATTTGTTCATTCCTGGAAAGAGGAAGAAGCTGATAGAACAAATGACTCTTCCTGTCCGCTCTTTTCGAAGTGAGCAAATTGTATGTAAAGATCCGTAAGGACTAAACCCTACCATCTCTTTCTCTTCACATGATACAACTTAGTCGAAGTCCCCGCTATTTTTCAGATCTCAATCTAGCCACCAAAAAAAGAATTTCTGGGTGTTACTGTTATAACTATACGTAAACAATCCGATAGAGGGAAGATAGTCAATTTGCAATCTTCAATGTTTTCTAAATTGCCGACTAAACCAACAGAACATAGGAGTGAAAAAAAGTACAACCAAACGAAGGTCCGTAAAAATCCTGTCACAATCACACTTACGACAAAACACATTGATTCCACACTCGTAGCAAAACCACGTACGACATCTACATCCAACGTAAAAAAACCAAGAATTATATCTTCTTTCCATATCACAAATGTTTTTTGTTTTTTTAGTAAATAAATACATTTTATTCCAAAAAAACAAAGATATTACATGAAAACTCAAGAATGACCTAGATTCACTTAAGACCTCGAGGTTGAACTCAAGAATGACCCAAAAAAGCCCTTATATCCCAAATTTTCTCTTACTACTATGGTTTTTTTCGTCTATCAAGCAAATTAAAGAACAACTTTGCAATTTTTTTCGGAGTTTATGTTCTCCTCGTTTTCAAACTGTGAAATTGCAACATGACTATTATTATTGAAATGTTGATGTTCTATATCCCTCGTTTACTTGCTCACATTTAAGCTTATCAATCGTATCAATTGAGGTGGGTTCATGTCAAGTTTTAATTGATTTGTGTCAAAAAAAATCTTACTCATACTCAATTTGTTTATTAATTTGTATCTAACGAATTGCGTCATATCGAGTTTGTCAGTGTCAATGGATTGAATTTTGACCCAAAAAAAAAAATAACAAAAACTTACAGAAAAATTACATTGTAATATTTTTGATACATTAAGGATGTAATGTGAGAAAATTAATATTTGAGAGTATAAAGTGAAATTTTTGAAATTTTTTAGGATACAAAGTGCAAAAAACCGTGTAATATATTTATTTTACAATTGGACTTAAATAACCAAGTTCGAGTATTATTATTAATAAATATTAGATTCGGTAGATCAAAGATGGAAATCTTCTTCATGGGTATGGGATCTTTGTTAGGGTGTACACATATGTCCAACACTCAAACTCTACTAACCCGATAAAAAAGTAGATAAACAATTATAGTTTGGATGGTTTTACAGTCCTATTAAAAGTAAGGGTGATAATTATATGTGTCAAGTATATATTAATTCATATTCGTGTTGAACACTGATTAATTATAAATACAATTCATTTAACTAATCATGGTATACTAATCAAATCAGTTTATCTCTGAATTGTATTCATGTTAATCTATATAACTCATGAATAAAAAATCTAACAATAAGGTTTAAGTCTAAGATTTTATTTTCTTTTAACCGAACTCATGCTCATAGTTCTTCTATAAACTAAAATTTTTTACTTAATACATGTAATAAAAATAAGAAGAAAAAAAAATTCCCTTATTGTACAATGATAATGTCAATACTTATAAAATAATAAAAATGTGATATTTTATTCATACAATACAAGTTAAAACATGTTAAATGTATCAATTTTTTGGTTATTCGTGTTTGAAACTAATTCGACAGATATATTATTCGTGTAACAGTTCGTGTTAATCCGACGGTAAATTTTTGGAACATGTGAGTGAACACTCGATTAATGAGAAGACGATGAGCTTAGAGAAGGATCGATCATGTCACTTGCGAGTAGTTGCTTGTACACATTAATCAATTGGATACCAATATCTGTTGAAAAACCACAAGGAATCAGCTTCCACTGCGTACCCATCTTCATTGCGGTGCCAACTGAAGTAAGCATGAGTCCTGTTCTTAATATCAAAAATGGCATGACCAAAACTGGCCTCTCGGAAAGCTGAGTATTTTGGCTGAGGCTCTGTCATGCTGCACCACATATTACACAAATTCAATGTGTTAAAGTCATGCTTGGAGAAAACAATATAAATATTCACTTTACTGAAGGGTTACTTCTCAATAGCCATGCAAATGGTATCGGATAAAACGGTTTCATGTTAAAAAAAATTCTACTCATACCTAATTCGTTTATTAAAAAACATTTTTTTTTGTATCAATTGAGTCATTGAACTCGCTAATTGTACCACCAAGTAGGGTGGTCTAGTGGGGTACCGACCTTACTCCCTCACCTTGAGGTTAGGAGTTTGAGTCTTAAAGTCCCCATTGGGGGTTGGTGGTTAGCCGTTATGCTAGCTTATGATCCCACGGTGAGAGCCTATTGGGATGATCGTTGGGCGCTCTTCCTTGCCCCTACTCCTTTTTTTAGTTATAAAAAAAAAAAAAAAAAAAAAAACTCGTTAATTGTTGCAATTGAGCCTTTCTATTTGCATTCGTTAGATTTTCTAATGGAAAGTGACGGAGTTTGCCACTCACGTGACATAAATGATTTGTAGCCCAGTCATGTGAATAGCACACTCTGTCACTTTCCGTTAGAAAATCTAACAATATAAACATAAGGACTTAATTACCACAATTAGTGAATTCAGGGGTTTAGTTGACACCAAAAAAAAAAATAGTTCAAGGGCTCGATTCACAAAAGGGTAACAATTTGAAGGTTATATGTATAGTTTACTCTAAAATTTACAATTGGGTCGGGTTAGATTACACTCAACCAGATTGATATTACAATTAAATGGGATCAATCCCAAACAGTTAAATCGGTCTTAATATTTTAGGAGCGATCCAAATTAATTTGAGTCGTAATCTCACCATGATCGATTAGGAATTAGTTTTTTTGAGTCATAACTTAACCCTGTAGTCATTCCCAATCCCATTCACTTTTGATTATGCCTCAAAAAAGATCAAAATGAGAGTTGTATAAGGGAAGGAGCAGTTCTTCAAGTAATAGTGATCTTACTTGTTTGCCAAGCCTTCAATATTTCCTCCATCACCGATGGTTATATACACGGGAGCAGATTGGTCACTTACAGGTGTACAGAGGCCATTGACAATGTTGTAAGCAATGTTGGATATACGTTCCTGTAATGTGTATGCATTAACCAGTTGTTAAGTGACACTAAAAACAGTTGGAGTTTTAGGAGTAATATTCAGAATGCTTAAACAAACACTTGTGCACGGGGAGCGGCCGCAAATTGAGACATAAGGCGAAAGTTAACGGTGAATTTTAACGGAATATTGAGTCAGATTGTATAATTCAGAGACTAAATTGACACAAAACATAGTTATGAGCTCGATTAACACAAATAATAGAGTTCCAAAGTGAAAACTTTAAATAAGGTCTTACTTAATGTTTCGAATTAATGATAGACATTAATAAAGGGAGTCACTACCCCCCAACTTTGAACTAGTTGCTATTCTTTTTCTGAAAAAAAAAAAAAAAAAAA